TGTGTGTGTGTGTGTGTGTGTGTGTGTGTGTGTGTGGTGTGTGTGTGTGTTTTTGTTTTTTTTTGTATGGTTTTACTCTGGAATTAGAAAAGGCCCAGTAGAATCTTAAATATGAAACTTTGTCACATTTTGGTGATGGTAAAAATACCTATCAGAGGGATACAATCTCACTCAAAAATACAATCAGGATTAATAATGAAGTCTTTTAATTTACTTTATAAATACAGGAGTAATGTCTATAGCTCCAATGATAATAGTACAAAATAGAAACAATGGATGTCAACAAGGCTGCAAAAAAACAAATGTACATGTGTCAGAAATGTAAAAAGATAAGGATTGTTTCATAAATATAAACATATTAAAAGTGAGATACAATTTCTATATATATATAAATGCCAAAAGTAAACAGTTAAAATCAGTAATGCAGCTCCAGGAACTTTAGCTAAGACTCACTGTAGGTGTCTGGTTAAGCTTTTTTAAATTAATTTAAAAAAAATTGAGATATGAAAATGATGACAGCAGTCCCTCTTCTGCATCCTTTCTAAAAGAGTTATTTTTTTCAACTAGTGTGAATCCAGCAGAGTTACTCATGCCATTTGATGAGATGGGAAGATAAGATGAGTCACAGGATGAGATCATGTGAGTCATGGCTACAGATAAGCACAGTGTAGAGGAAGAGCGTTTGAGGGAAGTGTTTTTTTGTGTCCCCAAAGTTAATGTTCAGTAGAGGTGTGATTCTAAAAAAAACACAGAGGCGAATAGTTTTAATATCTATTGGAAAATGCTTTTTTGAAACGTGTTCCTCCTCTTTGTATTGGTAAATGGAAAAATCTCTAGCAGAGATAAAGGCATGTGACATGTTCACGGCCAGCTTGATCAGATTCCCTCTTTATTAATTAGATGTTGGCAGTGGTCAGCGTTGTTTTTGGTCACTGTGAGAAAAGGGCTTATCTGGCATCCAAGAAACTCACGAGAGAATGACCTCAGAGATGGATCGAGTCCAACAAAAGAGCCAGCACTTCTAACAGGATGTCCATTAACTGTAACATGGCTTTACAGTAAAGGCGTCCTCTCTCCGTCCGCTTGCACTGCGTTTCAAGAGGAGCTCATTAGCGGGACTTTACTCCAGTAAATGATGACCGATTTCATTAACACCCTCAAGTGCTGATCTCATGGACGTACTGTATAAGGAGAACTTACGAAAAACATGATAAGGCGTCTGCATATAAGATTAAATAAGATAAGATGGACCTGTATTAATCCTGGTGGGGAAATTCAGTAGTTTAACAGCAACAGACTGAAAAACAGGACAGCACAGATTCACACGTGCGTGCGTGCGTGCGTGCGTGCGTGCGTGCGTGCGTGCGTGCGTGCGTGGCCTAGCATTACTATACTTGTGGGGACCTAAATCTGTTTACACAGTCACGTGTGGGGACTCGCCTCCCTTATGAGGACAAATTGGAGGTCCCCATGAGGGGAATCATTCATTTTAGGGTGAAGACTTGGTTAGGTTTAGGATTAGGGTAAGGGTAAGATTAGGCATGTGTTGGTTATGGTTAAGGTTAGGATAAGTCTCCAGGAAATGCATGTAAGTCAATGTAATGTCCCCTGAAGTGATGTATACATGGTGTGTGTGTGTGTGAAAACAATGTGTATTTTATGTCCAGTTTGTGTCACATTGTTGACCCCTTGTTGTGCAGCCTGATGGCTACATGCAGGCACAAAGGACTGTAAGGGCTTTTCAAGTGATTGTACTTTGTATATCTACTGATTAACAGATGTCTCTTACCAATGTTAGTCAATGGCAAAAAGTCAGTTTGGGCCCAATGATTGAGCGCACTGATACCGAAGTTGTATTACCATGGATTGGCGACTACAAACATTTGCTTCAACACTCCGCAGACTTCCTGGGGGCTTGTCTGATTTGACCTCTGATACATCAACCAGAGACAGTCTGACTGCCGCATGCCGATTGGATCGCTCCATGGCGCCCTTGACTTAAGTAACAACCAGAAGGAAATGTCCCAGTAAGCATTGAGAGCATTAAGATTTACCTTGTGCAATAGACAGTTGTTGGCTCGACACTGGGACAACTACAGCTGTTGATATGGATGGATGAGCGCGGGAGGGAGTTGAGGAGGAGGAGGTGGCGCTGGGCCTGCTTCTTCTTCCTGTTTCCGTCAAACACACGCAGATTCAGCCCCCGAAGCCGTGACTTTGAAGTGGTGTCTTTGATTAAGCTGTTAATTAAGGCAGAAGCTGCATGGAAGCGAGCAGATAACTTAGAGGAGAGAAAAAAAACAGGAAGAGAGGAAAAAGGAGCAGATAGTGATATTGGCAGCTCGTCGGTTTGTGAAGAGCCAGAGTGAGGTCCTTCTGACGGGCAGAGCAGCCAGCTGCCACAGCGGGACGGAGTTAAAAGCTGTAAGAGGAAAGAAACTGCCCACGTGTGAAAGGCACAGTTGCTGCCTTGCTGCAAGCTGTGGTGTTGGTGCCTCAAAGCATTAATGATAGAGGGTGGTGGACAGCAGGTGATTTATACATTCGAGACAGAAAGACTAATGATAGGTGATGAATGTACTTGCTCTTTTTCTGATGTGATTCCTGCCTCTGCCCCTCTCTGACCCACCTGCTCCTCCGTCACCTTTGTATTTATCTCCCTCTATCTCTGCTTTTTCATTCTCTATCCATCACTTCTTCCTCCTACTCTCCGTCTTGTCTCCCTCTCCTTCCTCAAACCCCAACACCACCGTCCTTACATGTTTAAGCCAAACATCTGCCTGTCCTCTTTCTCCACATCCTCTTCTTTCCATCCTCTTCAACACCATTATTCACATCTTCCTCTCTCTGTCCACACCCCCCCTCCCTTTCCTCAAATCTTTCCCTTCTCTTTTCCATTTTTCCATAAATCCTTCTTATCACGTATGAATCAGAAAAGGGGCTTATTGCACATTATTTTTTCGCAGACATGGAATTTGAGTTGGTGTCTGTTGCATACAATTAATTAATGAAAACACTGAGTGAAGAATGAAGGACATTTCCCCTGTAGGAAGAATGTGTTGTTCAGTAGCTGGGAAACGCACACACATACACACCCACACATCTGGTAGTGTGGTGTTTTTTATTTGGTTTTCTTGGTCTGATTTACTCGGGAATTAGAAAAGGCTCAGTAGAATCTTAAATGTGAAATGGTGGTAAAAATAAATAACACCAGGGATAACATCTAAATCTTGGGCTATAACCTCACTCAGAAATACAATCGGGATTAATGATTGTGAAGCTGACCGTTGAGCGGCCCGACCAAGCAAGGAGGCAGAGGCAGAGAGTTCAAATATAACCCGGTGTGGGCATTTATTCATCCTTGTGGTACATGATACACAGCCTCAATATGACTGTCTCATGTGAAGTCACCAGCAACCAGGATCTCACACCCACTAACAGGAAAAACAGAGCCTAAGGCCCACAGACTAATCAAGCCAACAAGACACAGGTGAGGGGGAAGGAGACAACACAGGGCACCAGGGTTGCGTTCCAATAGTCCATTTAGCTTAGGAACCTTCCTAACCAAGTGAAATGACCCGGAAGTACGTCAGTGGCAGCCATGATAAGTGCCGTTCCAATTCTCCAAATGAAAGGAAAGGAGGTTTCAAACTTCCTTTATAACCTCCTTTAGCTTAGGAACCACTGGACCCCCCTTGACGAAAGGAGAGGAGAAAATGCTGCCCCACAATGCATTGCAGCCGCAGCATTTGCCGTCACTCAACATTCGGCCGTTCACGGAAACAACCGATTATGACCGAGAAATTATATCATGAAAGTTACGGTGCTTATTAAGCTTTTTAAAACGTAAGTGGTAAGTTGCCAAAATGCTTTTTTCTGAACGTTCATCAGTATTATAATAAAAGAGAAATATGAACGTTAGTTTTTACTGAAATGATCAAATAAAGTCAACATCTCACTGTCTTTACTGAGCTGTGTGGGGTTTGTTCAACTTTTAAAAGATGTTTGAATGGTGATACACACAGTGATAGATGTTAAGGACTAACGTTTATAATAATAACATTTGTATTGATTTAAGATATTTTCATACAATCATACGTATTGGGATCATTTGTATTAATGTGGACCGGAGGGAGAGGGTGACGAGCAGAAGTTTCACTTTCCTTTTTTATTTCAATTCCAACTTTGGTCATGAAGAATATGTTTCTCTGTTGTCCACGTTCATAAAGCATAAAGCAACAGCATCAGAGCACGGTGCAGAGTCTCTAGATGAGTTTACAGTAGTCCCTCGTTCTTATTAAACATCCATGTTGTAGTCCGCTGTATAGAAAACTAGTTTCCATAGTTTCCCCACAGCAGCAGACGCACATTCATGACGTCCGCTGGCGCATCATAAACACGTCGGAAAGTGAAAGTGCATTCGGATTCTGTAAAGTACCGCGGTCTCTTCTCCTAAGTCCTTTTGAATTCTCCTATCCACTATCCCTTAACCCCGTGACGTTTCACTCAGAGGTCAAGGAATAGGAGATAGGGTTAGAATTTAGGAACTGATTTTTGGATTATCTGAACGCAACCCAGGTGAACACAATCAGCAGCAACAGACAAGACGGGAAGGGGAACACTTTTCAAAATAAAACCAGGGAACAAATCAACATACTTCGCCAATAAGGACGCTACACAATCCGTAACGGAGGCCGAGATCTACAGTATGGCCCCAAAGATCACCTCCGTTACATAATGATGAAACTCTTTTAATTCACTTTATAAATACAGAGAGATATCCACAGTTTAGGGACAGAAAAACAGAGCACTACTCTGACCGGTAATTTTATAGGACACATAAGTAACATAAACAAAAAGGAATCCAGTGATGGGTTAGCATAATAACAAGTAACAAAGTCAAGTAACATATTATAAGTATTGAAACATTCTAAAAACAATATAAACAATGAATATATTTGTAAGAATGTATTATCCACTCTTTCCTCCATCTCCACCAGCCTGGTTTCTATAAAGGCGTGGCGGGCTCCAGGTGACCCTGTCCAGCCTGGTGAACCAGACGCGGGCCATGCTGGAGGAGCAGCGCGCCACCTGCTGACGGAGGTGGAGCGGCAGACCATGGGCTACTACGTGGAGGAGTACGGAAGGACACATCGGGGTGGAGCAGCTGGTGGTGCGCTGTTTGAGCGGCTCATACGCACGCAAAGGTGAAGGCTTGTTTCTGCACTCCTGTAGGGGCTGTGTGGGATTGGATGTGAGATTTGAAAATTGAAGTTTCTGAGACCTTCAGAGATTGATACCCAGGCTTTTTCCCGAAACTTACAGCACTGTTTTGTTTATTCTTTCATCCCGGATCCTTAAAAGCCTCTTAATTTTCTCACAGTCTGCAGTAGTTCAACTTGTAAAGAAACAAAATAAAATCAAAAGGCGTTTAGATTGCAGATACATGTACCTACAGAAGGTCTTCTGTAAACTTCCTTTACTGCCTAAATCTTGGTTTGGATTTAGGAACATTCACATTGATCCCATTAGTAATGATACTCACTATTCAGTTTAATTAACTAACCAAAGTTGTTGTTTTAAAGGAGAAAATAGCATGATAAAATCACTCTTTAAAGGTGGGGTAGGTAAGTTTGAGAAACCGGCTCGAGATACACTTTTTGTTATATTCCATGGAATGCTCTTAACATCCCGATAGCAATGAATATCTTAAGTGCTTTGACAAAAAATCGATAAAAAAATGTCATCTTGTGAAGCCGTAGTACTGTAAAAAGTACGACCATCATCTGAGCCGGCCCGGCTAAAGAAACTGGATGGCCGACCTGCCTGTCAGCCTTCCATCTGTGCACAAACTTATCTCGTGCCCTCATTGGTATATTTTCAAATTCTAGCGCACTCGAGCTGGTTTCTCCAAAATTACATCCCCCACCTTTAAGTGCTTGTGAACATCACATTTTTGGAATCTGGAGTGCAACCAACCCACACACTGTCAAGAAAACACTACCCTGTCAGTTATTTGTGAGCTGCCTGGTAAGTAAATAAGGAATTCAACAAGCCATTCAGATTTGGTTCCGCTTTCTATGCCACACGCAGGCCTATTATAATATTCCGCCCCCCTATGAAAGAGTATGAATCTCAAATAAGTACACCATGAATTGAGCTACACTGTAGCTTACATGGAAAAGTGTGCCCTATATACAAAAGCCCAGTCTGTATAACGGTCTCAATACCACAGTCCATGCAGCACAGGTTCGATTTCCAATCCTGAGGCTGCAAATCATCCCTCACTTTCTCCCCTTGTTTGTCTTCACCAGTTCTTATCAAGACAAGATACAACTAATGAATTTAATCAGCTAAGTACAGTTTAGGCCAAAACTAATGAGGTCTATATGTATGACTACATCCATCAACAGGACCTTAAATAGTTCTTCTTCAAGCAGGTCACATCGAAACAATAACCTGTTTTTTAACTGTCCATAAATGCCAAATCTTCTCAAAATAAGATGTTAGAGCTGCTAGACTGTTTCTGTTTGTCACAACACAAAGTCCTCAGAAAACTCAGTAGGAGGGACGTTTATTTCTCATGAAGATATGGTTTAAGTTTATCGATCTCAGCAACAGTCAATAAATCAGGGTTTGGATGAAACACAACTTTTGGTGTATCACAGTTGTAGAAAAGAACTTCGTTTCAGTCCTTAAATTAATCCTAGTTTGTACGACCCACCCTAAGCCTGTTGCATCATACCTCTCCTCCCCTCTTGTGTCTCCCCCTCTGTCCCTCCCTCCCTCCCTCCCAGTTCTCTCTGCTGTCAGAGGTCGAGGCCTGGTCACCCCTCAGGACTGGAGCACTTTGACGCGCTGGTGCTGAGACGAGAAATTCAGGCTCTTAAAGCGCGACAGGGGCCAGCCGGAGCCACGGCACTGCAGCAAGACTCCCTGTCCATGGTGTCGTACCCAGACACTCTGACCTCATCTTCAGCCAGCTTCATGACCAACACCACCCTCAGCTCTGCACGGGTAGGCTGGGTTTATCAGTTCAATAACTCTCTGGCACCTTCTGATATAGTGCGGGCAGTCTTTTTTTAATGTTAAGGTCCCCTATCATACTGTTTTTCATCAATATATTATAGGTCTCAGATATATATAAAACATGTCTCTGAAGTGTTTGACTTGAAATACCAAACAGATCATTGCAGCATCCCATAATCCCCTCTGTTTCAAAAGTGCTGATTCTCTGTCTGTTACTTTAGATGAAAATAAGGAGCCCCTCCCCACGCCCCTCTGAGAGAGATTTGGTTAAAAGACACAATGGTGCTCTAGGAGGAGATTCAGGTGATACGGTGGGGGGGGGTTACCTTGGTTGGTGATTGGCTAATGGTTACATGAGCCAAAAAAACGTTATGACATCATAAAGTGGCCAAAATCTGCTCAGCTCATTTTCAGACAGGTTTTTATAGAAATGGATCAGGACAAAAAGAGAGCAAATATTTTTTCGTGAAACTTTCAGAATCTCTTTACACAGAGGGGACACATGTTGAAGTAGAAGAGACATGAAGAAGAGGGTACACATGTTGAAGTAGAAGAGACATGAAAACGTGGATTTTGCACAAGAGGTGACCTTTAAAGTATGTGGAAACATAACATCTGGATATTTTCAGGATAAACTGGTAGCTCTCTGTGCTTAGGAAATATTCCATGGGATGCTATTTCTCTACTATTTTCATTTTGCAGCAACAGTTCAGTTTGGTATGATTTATTTATTTCTGTGTTAGTGCTTGAGTGTGTGAAAGAGAGAAAGAGGGTAGTGTGATATATTTCAATGGATTCTAACCGATTCTGATGCAGAAAAGATCCTCATCTGATGTGGACTTTGTGAGGCTGAACAATGACACGTTTCAATGCCTTCATGCTGAGATGCTTTGGGTTGATATTTTGTATTTTCTTCACTTCAAAAACCCCCCCCTTACTCCCACATTCTCACCCAACAAACCTCCCCTCTCCCCTTCTGTAGGAAAGGCTGCTCTGGCTGATAGATATGATGGAGGTAGGAGTCGCTGCTGAAAGTGATGAATGCTTTTGCAGCACACACGTACAGGAAACACGATAAATAAGGAGTAGAGTCCTTTGTGTAGCAGGCACACTCTGACCCTTACCTCGCTGTGTGGTTTTGCAGTGGATTTGTTTGCAGTGTTTCTTTCTTGTTTTTCTCGTCGCTACCTTGATTTGGACATTATAGTGCTTTTAAAGAAAGTGCTGTGTCTCTCCACAATCCTAATAGGCTCTGTTGATACTGTGCAGGTAGACTTGCGTTCTCATGTGTGGATTGGATCACAATTACAGACAGGAAAGATTGTTTCAAGGAATATTTAGAAGTTATATTTACAATTAATTAGTTATTACTGTTGAGGTTTTTTTTTTCATTCTTGTGCATGAAACACGTAGATAGACACATTGCTTTGCATTACTTCAACATATGCTCTTGTCCGACTAACCCGATAGATGACCCACCTTTTAAACAGCCACTCAAAGATACTCAAAAGTACCAAGAATTACATGGGACATAAAATAACTTCTTAATTACTCAAAAAGATGACAAAAACATTCAAAAGCTACAAAGACACCTAAAAAGAGGCAAAAAAAAGGTATGTATCACCCAGAGATGCGTACAAAAAGATTCAAAAGGACAAAATAAAGTGTATAATTTTGACCGTTATGTAAAAGTGGCGGGTCTTTTTGCATATTTGATCCTAGGGGCACATTAACTCATAATCAGCCCATGATGCGCCTACTATATCGTACATACTGTGAGTAAACTATCGTCAGTTACACATATATATAATATGTTGGTAGGTAGTTTTTAATATGGTTATGTAAAAGTGGAAGCAAGTGTTATGTTATGGATTAAAAAGACCACTTGAACCCAGGTAACCACACACACAAACACACTGTATCTATGTTGACAGCAGAGATATGCTGTTGACTGCAGACGTTCCCTCCAAACAGTCCCTGTCTTTGAGATTCCATTGATGTTTTGTTTTTTACCTTTCTGCTTCCCCCTCAGAGAAGGGACTTTACATATGTGGGAGTGTGTGTGTGTTTGTGTGTGTTGTTCTTTATTCTATCCATGTTTCTTTGTGTGTCTATTTTTGTCATTTTGGTCCCTGGGTGACTGCTTCCACAGCAGCATAAAGCAGATTAGAGAGCTTTGTGGGTTTGGGAGGGAGATATCGACACTGGATTTCTGAACCACGCTCAAAATGAAATGAAGCTGCACACACACTTACACAAACACACAAACAAACATACAAAAACACAGGTGCAGCTTGCTAGACAAACACATCGTTGCTTTAGGATTCAACAAAAATAAAATTGTATTTAACATTAAATTAAAATGTTCCTCCAAATATGTAAATGGTTAAGATATTTTTACATTTAGGCATCTTATATGCATGAATGTATTCATGCTGTATAACTTTAAACTCGCTATTAAGACCATACACTCATCAGGAACATGTGAATTTAGATTTTTTTCATAGACTTCGATACAATCTGACTTATTTTTGCATGGAGCAAGTCAAAGGCACTCCCCTATTAGAATATAAATTATCCCAAATAGGGACATTATTAAAATGATGATTATAGAGAGAACAGAATGGTTTATTGTTGTATAAATAATAATGTTTTGAAAGCATTGCCAATAGACTGCAGATTGGTCATGGGTCTATTGTCCTTTGTCAGAGTCTTGGGTCACTTTCTCAGGACTGAGCATGTGTCATTAAAACTGTATAAAAGCAGACTCTTCAGCTTGAGTAGTTGCATTCAGATGTAGAGACATTGCTCTCTGCATGCTGTGTGCTACATACAGAGATCAGGGCAAAGAGAAGGGCAACTCTTTATTGCTGAATTTCCCAGAAGTTGCCCCTTGATCTAAACATGGCCTTGCCCAGACCTAGCTATTTGCGGCAGCAGGTGGTACAGCACCTTTCTTCCACTATCTCCTATTGTTAACCTGATTTGAAAAATGATTTACTTTGGATGTGCTCAAAACGTAATGGGTTCCTTGGCCCATGCTTCACCTTTACCCAAGTTTTTGAAAAACGAGGCCAGACGTTTTTTCTGTTCTGCTGAGAACGAACCGAAGCAAACACATAACTTCCATGGCGGAGGTAATCAGGCGTCTGTGGGAAGATTTGTAGTGTTTGTAATCACGATTGTTTCCACTGTTGCAGTTTAACATCTGTGGTGCTGTCTTCTTCAGTGATTTGCTGCTTCAGATCTAACATAAATCAGAGCTACAAGATCAGCCTATCCATCCATCCATCCATCCATCTTCTCCCGCTTATCCGTGGTCGGGTCGCGGGGGTAGCAGTTCCAGCAGAGAGCCCCAAACTTTCTTTTCCCTGGCCACATCAACCAGCTCTGACTGGGGGATCCCAAGGCGCTCCCAGGCCAGCGAAGAGATATAATCCCTCCACCTGGTCCTAGGTCTACCCCTTGGTCTCTTCCCAGCTGGACGTGCCTGGAACACCTCCCTAGGGAGGCGCCCAGGTGGCATCCTAACTAGGTGCCCGAACCACCTCAACTGGCTCCTTTCGACGCGAAGGAGGAGCGGCTCAACTCCGAGTCCCTCCCGGATGACCGAACTTCTCACCTTATCCCTAAGGGAGACACCAGCCACCCTGCGGAGAAAACCCATCTCGGCCGCTTGTATCCGCGATCTCGTTCTTTCGGTCATGACCCATCCTTCATGACCATAGGTGAGGGTAGGAACGAAAATGGCCCGGTAGACAGAGAGCTTTGCCTTCTGGCTCAGCTCCCTTTTCGTCACAACGGTGCGGTAAAGCGACTGCAGTACCGCTCCCGCTGCTCCGATTCTCCGGCCCATCTCACGCTCCATTGTTCCCTCACTCGAGAACAAGATCAGCCTATGTGTAAAGTAAATCATCGTTTGTCTTTAAGATGGTTATCGTCAGATAAGTGATCATGTTGCCTTAAATTCCTGCTGAGAGAATGTAGAATTAATTATTGTCAACCATATCAACCTTTGCACAGAAAGTGTCACAAAGCACATCTCAGACATTGTCACATTTGTAATGGGGCCCTTAATTGCTTACTTTGGATCATATTTGTATGTTGTGCCTCTATTGTGACATGTTAACATGTTTTAATGCTCAAAAGATCTTTAGTTTCCTCATACTTCTTTTCACCCTCTGTCTGAAACCAGAACCCAGTCTGCTTTGATTGGTTAGTTGGCCGGCTCCTCCATCACAATCATCATTCTGATTGGTTAACAGCTGAGAGAAAAACACAGGCAGGGGGGGAGTGTGTGGGAGAGAGACTGCTTCTGGAGGATTTTAGCCTTTGCATACTATTTACATGCAAACAAATCTATACAACACATGCACCCATAAAGGAGAGCCAGCAAAAATTGTGACATCCTTGTGTTTTCGTCATGAATTGTCACGATACAAAATTGGCTTTATTCTACTACAATAATTTGTAAAGAGAAAATATTTTCCCCCCAGCAGCAGATCTGATTCTTACCCCAGAAGTCAAACTAACCAACTACAGTCAACCTCCACACTGTTTTCCCACCATAACACATACACATCACACTGCTCACTGCGTTTGCACGGCATGTTGACATTGTATATTAATCCTGTTCCTGAGATGATTATTGGGTACTCTCAGATACACATGCTCCCACACACACACACACAGTGCAGAGCAGCGTCTACGCATGTGGAAAGTCGATTGACTCTTGCAATAAATAAATTGTCTGTAAGTGCTCCCTGTGCGGTGACGAGCGGTGATTAAGCTGAATTGCTGGGGCTTTTGTTTTGGTTTAGTGGCAGAGTTAAATGAAGTTCAGCGTTTCCCTGAGCTCGGAAATCATTCACAGATTTGCTGCAAATGACCTCCTCTCCCCCACGCCACTGGGATTGAGCCTCCAAATCCAGCTTTGAACTCAGCTGATGGTCCTCTATCGATTTTCCCGGCATGTGCGTTTTGCTGAGCTAGAAGACATGATCTGTGTGTGGGTGTGTGTGCCTATCTTAATTGCTTTCCTTCCCTATTAATTTCAAGATTGACAAGCAAACGCAAACATCTATTGACATTAGGGCTGCTCAATTAATCGTATTTTAATCGCGATTACGATATGGCTTGCAACGATTACGAAAACAACGTAATCGAAATAAATTGTTTTATTATTATTAATACCTTTTTTAAATGTTGAATTATACTTAAAGTTCAGGGTAATCAACTGTTAAAAACATACTGTTCACGTTTTTTTTCTCCAATAAATGAATGTTTTCAAAGTCAATGAATAATCGCATTTAATAATCGCAATTACAATTATTGACCCAAATAATCGAGATTATGATTTTTGCCATAATCGAGCAGCCCTAATTGACATCTTTCCTTTTTTCTAGGAAACACCCACCAAATCTAATTTAGCATCGGTTTTGTGGTAAACACACATCTGTGTAAATCTGTGTTTAGCATCCCTCTGACTTTCATCCCTCTCTTCTCCCCTCAACCTCTCTGTTTCCTGTCTCTGCTCTCTTTTACCTCGCGTCCCTCTTACTCCATCTTTGTCTCTCAGAACGACAGCGCGGTGGACAGTAATAAGGCGGATCCCCCGGAGAGTCTGAACACGCTTCTGTCCGACATCTCTCTGGTGAGCCCGGCAGCCCTGGTGTGATAAAGATGGATTCCACACAGGGGAGAAAATTCAAACAAAATATTAAAGGGAGGTATTGAGAGATGGCGGTGCTGGTGAAGCCTTTCCACTTTCGTTTTGTGTTGTTGGTTTGAAAGAGGATCGCTACCTGGCATGTCCAATTATCCTCCCACCCTTCTCCATACTTTCAAGAAGGAGGTGGTTACGGTCAGGGTAAAAGAAAAAGGTCTGCACTTTCCAAAACAACAAGAGATATCTGAGGCTCAGTTTTTTCTGAACAGAAAGAGATGAAATGGAGATCTGGGATCTTTTACTCTGCAGTCGTCCAAGGCTACCTGCCGCTCAAATCATAACTTCCTTTTCATTTTGCAATCTTTCTTTTACACTCATTTTATGTCTCAGTCCATATTTTTGTGAGCCACTCTGTCTCAGTGTCCATCTCACTATTTGTTCGAGCATTTTTACATTTTAATACAGGGTCCGGATGGAGCAGCAACGTTTTCTACATGGTTTGGATGTGCTAATGTTCCTCTAGACGGCTGTTATTTTCACTGAAACTGAAAGGGTTCAACAGGTGTCTAATGCAATTGTTTGAGTTCAAATTGGTTTAAGTAACACTGTGTTTAAAATGTGCTTTTACAGTAAATGAACATTACATTTGTAAATATACAGTCATTCAAACAAACTAACGTCAATAGGACACATACTTATCAAAACCTTGCAAAACAAAATGATAATTACTGTAGAAACAACTACAGGTAAGTTACAAAGCAACCTGGCAGATATTTTCTACATACAAATAAAATGAAGAAATAATACCTTTACCTTTCATAGAAAGTGAGTCTTACATTTGAGAAACATTCTTAAAAATATGCAAGTAAAAAAAATCAGTTTGTCAGGATTAAATGTTGATTAAAACAGTAAGGTCATGTTTTGTTCTGCCGGATATATTGCCTTGATACATTATTACACCCTTAATCAATGATGAATATATCCTCTCACTTCAGGACGACGTACAGTCCACCCCAGCTGAATCCCCCCCCTCCTTCAAGCCTCCGCCCCCACCAGGGGTGCAGAGGCGGCCAACTAGACGAGATCCGGTCAACAAAAGCCCCTCGTCCGAATCCTCCCACTCAGGCCTGTACTTCACAGCCCCGTCCAATCACCAGCGCAGCAGAGAGCCAGGACACGCCCCCGCCTTACCCTCACTGCACAAACGGGAGCACCCCAGGGAGCCCTCCCGGGACTACGCGGTCATTAAAAAGAGAGAACCCACGGTACCTTCCAGGAGAGAACAGATAGCTGCTGCTCAGCTGTCTAAGCTCACACAGCACAACATTGGCCCTTTCCCCAGGGTCCTGTCCCCCAGCAGGGGCACCAGACCCGCTGCCCCGTCCCCTTCACCTCCACCTCCACCTCCACCTCCACTCCCTGCCCCTCCTCCACCCCCTTCTCTTCCTTTTAAACCAGTGTCCATGTCCAAAGCCCCCCCCTCCTCTCCGGGCTCTAAGCAGCAGTTTGTTACGGTGGAGGTTCACAGGCCCAACGCAGAGCCCGACGTCAACGAGGTGCGGCCCCTTCCCCAAACTCGAGGTGAGGGACATATAGTGGAGCTCCGGAAGTCCAATATACATATGTCATTTGTATCTTTTAAATAATAACATGCACAAGTGTGGATGCAACTAACAATGACTTTAAATGTGGGCTCCATATTCTCCAATATAGTCTTTACAACATTTACAAATCAAATTATTGCTCACCGTTTCTCGCCACCTTATGTACTTATTATGTATGATATGTGTATGTGTATACTGTAAATACCATGTACTATCTCTCCAAATATGTATTTATTTGGGATAAATGCACTGAAATTAGCATTACCCAGAAAAATGTGTATCATAGCAACTCTATGCAAAACGTCACTACATCTTAAAATCAGATATATTTCCAAATTTGATTATTTTTAGCAGTTCTACTAAACTGAAGAGCGCTCTGAAAGTTAAAGCAAGTTTAAAACAATACAAATAAAATATAGTATTGCTTTTATATAGTCAAATGAAATCCCCACAATAGACGATGTGTTGTTTTCCCATCCTCACGTCCCATGTGCTGTTCACCCTCAGGTGGCGCTCTGTCTCAGCTGTCAGACAGCGGCCAGACCCTCAGTGAGGACAGCGGGGTGGACATAGCTGAGTCAGGACACATCAGCAAAGACAGCAGCACCCACTTCTCACACACACGCCACCCCCGGGACACCCAGGGGGGCGGGGGGGACCACCCCTCCAAACCGGTGAGGGGGTGATTCAGAACAGCTGTGAGCCAGACATGGATGGATGAGTGGATTCATTGTTAAACTCTGATGAATGGGAAATGTATTTAGTTTAGTTAGGTGTGTGTGCTGTCATAGTTCTGTCTTGCGAGGACCCATTTATGTGAGTTTTAGGAAGTGCGGCACATTTGGAAAGTGACACAAGTTTTGTAAACTGGAAAAGGTTTGAAGGGCCTCTATTTTAAAGGTTATAGTAAGAATTATTTGTATTTAAAGGGATAAATTATGAGTTACTGTATGGGTTCTTGCAAGTATAGAATTGTGTGTGTGCTGAAAAACAAACCATCGTTGATAAACTGATGTGCTTTATTGCTAATCCTCCAGAATCTTTTCTCAAACCCTAACTGTGATCTCTTCTCTCCTCCCTGTTTTGCTCACACAGTTTCCTTTGTTTCACTCATTTGTTTATTCCTCATTCATTCATTCATTCATTCCATCATTTATTTCACCGCTCACTGCAGTGTAGCGTTTTGACAAGTGCTCTCTGCGTCTTATTGATTGATGGGAGAAATAACAAGTAAGGATGGAAGTAGCCTAACGCTTTATGAGGAGAGGGCCGGTCGATTCAATATCTGTTTTAGATTAGAATCATTAGGCAGGAGATGTGACGGCTGAATCTACTTTGTACCAGGAAAGCTGGATGTTATTGCACTTTATTTTTGCTCCTGAGAAAACTGAATTAACTTTAGAGGGCAATTGTTTAAAGCTTTTTATAGTCTACTCATTCCTATTCCAGCCATGAAAACACATCAGGAGTTTGTTTAATCAAGCTGTAAGCAAAAACATTGATTCACAGATTTGATGTCCATATTCTATGATAAATTGGCGTTTGATGGAAAGCACAGTTTGCAGTTATTTGTTATTGACAGAAAGAATGGAGCGCGGAGAGAGGAGAGCATTAAAGTCCTGAGCTGGAATTGAACATGGAATGCTGCAGTAAAACGATATGCCTCTTCACTAGCTGGACACCATTTGATATTTCCCTTACTATATGGACATAGAATCCAAGTAGCGTGTTTCAAATTAACATACAGATGAAAGAAACCCCTCAAGGAAAAAGATTCCCCCCATTGGGTTACAGAGGCCAGTGTCAAAGAAGCTTTACGATAGTGAATACGTAATATACATGCATTTTGAAATGGTTATTTCTTATGACCTTTGACTTGTGAAACTGTACAACATGATTGCTCGTTCATGGATTGGTCACCAGGATTAAATATGTACATAATAATAGAGAAGAGGTCTTTATGAATGTGTAAACCCATTGAGAAGACCCTTGAGTGTGTGTGCTCAGAAGGAAGCTCATACTGTAACTGTATAATCAAGATTCAAGGCTTTTATTGTCATTCGTACATAGCTACAGTTTAGTTATGTTGATGAAAATATTAGGTCCCAGGCTCCTCCAACAGTGCAACACAATAAACAGATAAAATAGTGCAAGTAAGGCAAGGCAAGGCAAGTTTATTTATATAGCACTTTCCAACACAAGGCAATTCAAAGTGCTTTACAAAAAATGAAAGAGATTAAGAAAATGGCATTTAAAATCAGTCATTAAAAAGAAAAGCTAATAAAATAAACATTAAAAGAAAAAGTACATGGATAAAAGTTACAGTGCAGTCTAAGATATGAATAGTTCAATTAAAAGCAGCGACAAAAAGATAAGTCTTCAGCCTGGATTTAAAAGTAAATACAATACAATAGAATATAAGTAGTGCCATAAGAGTCTATATACAAGTGATACATCATTTGTAAGTTACAAACAGGTGAATGTTATGGATGTTCTAAAGAACAAAAGAAGGACAGTACATGTATGCATAGAGGCAGGAAGGGGAAGCAGACATAGATGATGTATGATGTGATGAATATTAGGGGTTTATAAATACGCATTAATGATGTTCTTCTGATTTAACCTGTGCTCCTCTCCCTCCCTTGCTGTAGCCGGGGCTGTTGGAGCCCACCTCCTCCCTGGTGAGGGTGGCAAAGAGCGCCAGCACTTTGGGGATCGCCATTGAAGGCGGAGCCAACACGCGCCAGCCCATTCCACGAATAGTCACAATACAGGTGAGTGAGGAAGAACACAAAACAAGGTATACAATAATGATGTAATGTAAAATAATACACGTGTACCTTTACTTTGATTCACATATATATTGTTATGTTGCTATGAAGTAAAGGACTTATGTGTCTGCCATACAGATATCATATTTACATTTTAATTTTCACTTTCAATATCTTAAATCTTTCAACACACATCAGTCCTAATCATACACACAATATACATTCCTTTGTCGAATTGTAACCCCTTTAAATAGCCATTTCTTTACGAAATGCCACACAAATTAACCTTTTTGCTGTATACTTGTTGCTAAGGTGATAACCTTTTTTCTGCATTCTGGAATGTGTGAACAATTAAAAAAACAACATTCATTTTGATGCATTTGTATTGTTATGCAGGAAAACAATTAAATATGTATTTGGCCGAAAGGGCAAACTTGATAAAACGTCTCAATCTGGTGGGAAATAATAACAACTGTAATTTTGCTGCCAGAGCTCCAGATTGATAAAGGCTAATGTAATAGAAGGCATGGTTTTGTCATGTAATGGCCGTGGGATAATCTGTATTTGGCAACTCACTTTATTATACACTTTTTATAGGAGCTGGGGGTCTTACATGTGTGTGGGGAAACACTCACACACTTTCCAAAATCTGTGCCATATGCAATAAAACACAACCGTTAACTGTGTATACTTTTTAACAATCAGCCGACTCAGTTTTGGTGAATATTCTCCTTATTATTAGCTGTGTTTATTGTATCCTGGGTGCTTTCTTCTTTGATTCTCTGTGATGGTATCATGTGCCCACCTGCCAGCTGGGATTTGATGCCCTTTAAGGATTGAAATGGATTCACACTGCAGCTGAACTCACACTGAGATTCCTGCTAATTGAGTCCTCGTTGGGGATTGTGACATTGATGGTGTTCATGAGAACGCTTAACTGCCTTGAGACCAATTCCCTGCCATTCCCTTCTCAGTATAAGGCAGTTAGTAAAACGTTGAAGTTGAGGAATAAAGGCAGAATTAAGACCTATGGTGCATTATCACAGGTTATGATACGGTTCAGCTCAGATATCTTCATGTTGGGTTGAGCAAGACACTTTTGCATTTCTGCATGAAAAACTATTGTATATCCAGATTTTATATTCAAATATTGACAATAAAGCACCTCGGAAAGCTATTACTGTGACTGGATGTGCATATATCTGTCTGCCAGAGTAATGTGCAAGTCAACAAAGCCCTGCATTAGCTCAGGAAGCAGGGAGTTTCAATTTGAAGATCAGTGCAGCGAGCAGCCACAGACTGCAGTGTGAACCCCGTTCAAAGCCGTGTCTCATCCCAGCCTCCCTCTGCACAGAGGTGGTGATTGGAATAAAAAGGGCAGCTGATTGCCAAGGGAGGGATAAAAGGATTGGAAATGAGCACATTCCAAATCAAAGGGTGCACTGAGAAAAGAGGGCGGCGAGTGTGAGTGAAGGATGAAAAAGAAGTGTGTTAATAAGGAGAGGAGGAGGGTTTGTGCAAATGAGGAAGAGGAGGTCTGGTGGTGGTGTTGTTGATGGATGCAATATTTGGGCATTTGATTGGTGTGTAGGTGGTGGGAGGTGATGCATTGGGACCAAGTAAACAGATGTGTTTTAATGTGAGATACAAATCCCTAAACAAATGCAGGAAGATGGGATTTAGGGTTATCTTGCTTTTTTAATTGACGCATTACAAAGCCCCGAAACACTTCAATTATATTTCCAGCATTTTGTTTACGCAGCGCTTTTAGTAAATGTTGTGTATGTGTAGTCAAGTCTTCATTTGCATGTGTTTTATCACATATGTGATTTTATATATGTTCATAATTGTTTCAAGTGCAGCAGTTTCTCCTAATGAAAGTGTTTGGGACGTTGTAGCGCTTTTGGGCACGGGTTGGTCATCCTAGATTTTTTGTTTTTATTTTTGTCTCCCAAAAGGAGGAACACATCTATTTTTATTTCCTATCAGCAGGACCGGACTGGGACAATAAGTCAGGCCGGGAATTATACACCCAGCCAGGCCACTACCAGTTTTATTTGTCAATTTTTACAGCGTTGCTGCCCATAGTGATAGCCCTCTAAATCTACTACCCAAAAATAAACATATGGACATGGGTTACTATTTTAAAAAATGTGCAAATCTATTTAGGAACCTATGTGAACATATTTTAAGTGGAGGTGGACCTCAAATCCTCTAGGGGGGTCCGGGGGCATGCTCCCCCGGTAAGATTTTTTTAAAATGTTGGACTTAAATGCATCAATCTGGTGCATTTTGAGGGGGAAATAAAGAGACTACACCCATATGAAACAGAACTGTATACATTTAAATAATCATAAAAACATGGCCATAACCAATAACGTACCATATCCAATATGAAAAAACATTGAAACTTGTTTATTTATTTGTTTTTGGTTCATTTATAGTTGTGAGTGTGTCTGTGCTCCTGAACCAGCCTCACCTGTCTCCCCCTGCTCCTCTTTGAGGCAGCAGCAAAGACTAGTTTTAGCTCTCAACAAGTTTATCTTGCCTTTTTTCACCTAGTTAACATTTTTTTTGTATTATTCATGCATATTTTACCAATCACTACCCCCTCAAATGGAAATATGTGTTTACATAAATGGTGACCAAACCCTTTGAGACCCACAGAGATAACTTAGACTAAGTTAACTATCTAAACACTCAGAGTCCTTTACCTCACCTGAGCTGTAGTTATCAGTCTCTCAGTCTCACAGGAGAGGACTCTCCCCCACCTTGTTGTTGAAAAAACTCCTTATATCCATTAGCGCAGCTAGCTAGCACCAGATGCTAACAACAATACACGTAACCGGTGCGCACGCTTTATCGCGCCACACTAACACACACCCTCCCGAACTTGAATGACACACAGACCAATCGAGGGCATTAGTATGATCTGTATGAAAGTGGCCATGTCGGCAGGCCACATTATGTAGACAGCCAGTCACCCTCTGTGAGGCAGAGTCAGACCCACATTTGCGCAGCGTTGCGTTCACAATACATACATTTTTAAAAAAATCCTCAGGCCAGCAGGCCACTTAACAGGCCAGGCCATCGGGAAACCTCCCGGTCCTCCCGATGGCCAGTCCGGGCCTGCCTATCAGAGATGGGTCTTTGCTTCATTATTGTTTGTCCTTTTATCTGTTTCTTAGCTCTGTTCACTCAGAGATTACGAAGCACTCACTCTGCTAAGAGGAATAACATAAACGTATAGATTAGATGAAAATGGTTGTTGAATAATAGTATAATACAAGCAGTTTTAGATTGAATCGATTTGTGCCACCATTGTACCATGTATCACTATGAAAGTGATAACTAGCACACAGTTCCTATTTTCCAGATGAAAACATCCTTTTTAACCCAATAAAATAATAAACTATTGAAGGTAAAAAAGCACTTCTCAAGAATGCCAGCACTTCAGATGTCTGTACATTTGTAGGAATTCTAGTCATGAAACCTCACTTCATCGCAGTGTTAACAATGACCCAACCACACACAGCAAGAAATGACCTCTCAAGAGATGAAGCCACTAAAATGGCTCAACCCATTACCAATTCCTCTAAACCTCAGATACTCGAGCCGAGAGTCTAATGAAAATAAAAAGGCAGCTGATCGTGATGAATAATAGCGGAGGAAATTGGTGCGATGGGTGTGAGGAGGTCCAATGAAGCTGCCCGGAATCAGGTTAAATGAGCTCATTTAAACAAGTAGATTGGATATGTAATCAGGTTTAAAATGTTGACTGGTCTCTTATTACAGCTTCCCATTTTTGCAATTGCATATATTTATCCAAACTTTGGTTTATTGAGGTAATAACCCTATCAATCAGAAGCGAGACAGAGCCAGGAGCCACATGACACCGCCGCTGCTTCCCTCAACAATAACACCGCATGGCTGCAGTCATTTGGAGACATTCATAACAAAGTAGCCTCAAGGTCACACCATACAGAAAAAGGAATACTTTTTTCCACGTTAACTTTCCAAGATGGAAAAGTGATGCGTCAAAACTTTGCTCTGTCACCTGGGGAAAGCTAACTCAACGTTATTAGACCCTTGAGCAAGGCACACTATCGCAATAGGCCCCTCAATCAAACTCAAGCATCAGAAAGATACATTTGCTTTGAAATAACCTGTTATATTGTGTCTGGCTTCCCGATGGGCGTGCTATCCCAGGGACAGATCACATCAAACGCACTAGAATATCGTTTCTCTGCGAAAAAGAAGCACAGTGGAGTCGTGGCACTGCAGACTTCTAGCTTCTGCTTTTCTTTCTCTCCGGGGCACGAGGGTTCTCGCCTCAAGTCACCTCAATCACGGCCGCTGAGGATGAAGTGCAGATGAGTGAGCTGCTGCCGGCCGGCCGCTCGTTATCAGTCCCATTATCGCTCCTGAAGCGACAGCCCGTTATCACCACGACGACTCGGGGTAATTGTTGCAGGCTCAGTAAATAAGAGAGTCTGTGATGCAGCCATTACACTGCCAACTGAAGCAAAGTTAAGGTCAGGGGTTCAACTCCATGCAAACCTCTTCTTTTGTTGGGTAACCCATCTCTCTTTCTTAATACATTTTATTAGTTTGATTACAGTCGTTGTTCATTCTGCGTTATTAAGTTCTACTTTCTTTTTCATTTGTACAAACACATAGAAAATAAGATGCTACAATCTAAGCATAAACGAAGATAATAGGGGTAATTCCCTTTGAGGTGTCCGTAGCCTTTTGACGCATCCCCATCTGTTATCAGAACACCTGAGGGTTTGACTAATACCTGGAACAATCATTACAAACCCATAAGGTTCCAATGCAAAGCAACTTGTATGTGAGTTTACTCGGGTTTAATTATATATTCTTTCTAACTTCTTGCCCAGAAGGCATAGCTTTGAGTAACTGTGTATCTGGTCGTTTTAAAACCTTGAGGCACTTGAGGATGTAATGACATCAGTTAAAGTATCTCACAATTATACTTGAGTACAATACTTGAGTAATTGTAGTTGTTTACATTCCAGGCAAGGCAAGTTTATTTATATAGCACCTTTCAACACAAGGCAATTCAAGGTGCTTTACAAAAATGAAAGACATTCAGACAAAGGCATTTAAAAACAGTAAAAGATAATAAAAGAAACATTAAAAGGAAAAATACATGAATAAAAAGTACATGAATAAAAAGTTACAGTGCATTAAGATATGAATAGTTCACACAGAAGTTCCACTTTACTGATGAACACAACGGCTCAGTTTCAATTAAAAGCAGCGACAAAAAGAAAAGTCTTCAGCCTGGATTTAAAAGTAGTCAGAGTTGCAGCGGACCTGCAGGTTTCTGGGAGTTTGTTCCAGATATTTGGAGCATAATAACTGAACGCTGCTTCTCCATGTTTAGTTCTGACTCTGGGGACAGAAAGCTGACCAGTCCCTGAAGACCTGAGAGATCTGGATGGTTCATCATTTAGCAGAAGATCAGAAATGTATTTTGGGCCTAAACCATTCAGTGCTTTATAAACCAGCACTGGAAGCAGGCATAGTTGCAATGTGCGTCGCCATTAACCAATCACGTCTTACAGATTGAGAAGAGTGGCTCAACTGCATGATGGATTTGTGGATTCTGAGCGATACAGTCCATCAACTTCTTCCTCCTTGCAATATCATCGCTGGTCAACTTGGCTGCTCAAACCCAACAGTAGTATTTCAGTCACTAAAGTGTCGTTACGAGTAATGAGGTCAGCATTCACAGTCAGGAGGAGAAGAACCTGGACCTGACAGGAAGGAATCCATGTTTCTTACTTGGTGCTTTTAAGATCACACGAATGTTGAACCTGAGATTCTGTGTTTCCATTAAAGCAGCATTAGAGCCCTTTCATGTCTATTTGATGGCAGGAGAACTCCAAAACATGCAGACAGAGAACTCTCTGACATTATATTTAATAAAAGGTGATGTGGCTTGCATGTTAGTGAAACATCAGGCCTTTGAGCTGCTAAATATTTTACTTTCTTTAACAGTTAGTAGCTAACTTGATCTGTCTGCTGTCTCTTGCTATGCTTGTGCAGCGTGTTTATCAGCTACAGTACAGCAGGTTTTAAGTAAGGCTGAGGAAAAAGTCAAATGGGAAAAAGATGAAGCTGCCCACATCCTCTTTTCCTCTTGAAAATAAGGTGGCTTCTTTGGTTGCTCTTGTGTTTGGGAAGTAGGTGGAATCTACTCATCCAAATCTGTCTCAAAGCTCGAAATGACATTACATTTTGCCTTAACTTAACCCACATGTTCTTGCATTGCCACCGACTGTAATGCTGGTACAGGATGTGAATCATGAACAGCAGGGAGGTCCAAATTGAATGTGTGATGAAAGTAATTTGGGAAAAATAACTGATTTTTAGCAATTTTCACTTTGAATATAAATACACAGGCTGCTGATTTACTTTTCAGAATCAGAGTCAGAATACCTTAGTTATCGCAGGGGGAGATTAGGTTGCTTGACTGAAATATTTTAATAAACATAAGAAGCAGAAGTAAAAATGTGCATAAAAGTCCTAGCCACTGAGAATCATGCAATCACGGTCGACCCCAACAGTCCGGCAGACATCAATGGAAACGTCGTTCTCAGAAATATCCAGGTGCAGCCACGTTTTCTGAAAAGCACATTAAACTACACTCCAGGTATCCATCTGGCTAATACCGTTAGCTCGTCCATGGTGAGAGGGGGAGGGACAGAGACCAGTCCGATAATTTGGAAAGAACAGCGGCCATTGCTCCGTCAGCCATATCTGTCCTCTGTGGATTTGACGGAAGAAGCAGATGGGTTGAACAAATATCACTCTTTATTCAGGTTTGCGATAGAGACATGTACGTTGAGGATCCACTTGAGTGAGTTCTCCGGAGCAGAGAGAGGCTTTAGATTAACTTCACACAGAAATGCAGACTGTGCTGAAATTGCTGGCATTCTTAAGTTTTACTGATGCTTTGTGTTGATATACTGGTTCTTTTAAGAGTCTTCAGATATCACTGCCGAAGAGCTGAGACTTCCTCAAGAAATAAGAACTGAGTCTTTGTGAATTGTTCTGTGCATGTCTTTGGTTGTCAATAACAATGTCTCTCTTGATTTGAAGGAAAAGGAGAGTGCTGCCGGTCAGGAGGAAATATTTCATTTAGTTTGAAGCAACACACTTCTTTCTAAAGGAACAGACCTGCAAAACATTCACGCTGAGCATTCACTGTGTGGTGTGTGTGTTGTGTGTGGTGTGTGGTGTGTGTGTGTGTGTGTGTGTGTGTGTGTGTGTGTGTGTGTGTGTGTGTGTGTGTGTGTGTGTGTGTGTGTGTGTGTGTGTGTGTGTGTGTGTGTGTGTGTGTGTGTGTGTGTGTGTGTGTGTGTGTGTGTGTGTGTGTGTGTGTGTGTGTGTGTGTGTGTGTGTGTGTTGTGTGTGTGTGTGTGTGTGTGTGTGTGTGTGTGTGTGTGTGTGTGTGTGTGTGTGTGTGTGTGTGTGTGTGTGTGTTGTTACACAAAGGCTCTCTTTCCGTATCATAATGTCATGTGATATTTATGGCATGACGTTTAGCTGAGATACTGAGAGGGCCTAGTTTTCTTGGGTGTAATAGAACGAAAGTAAGGATCTCAGACTTCCTAACATCTTGTGAGGCCAGAAACAGAAACAGGTGGGCTTTGGACCAGGGCTGTAGTTTTTTGATGGGAGTTATTTGTGCTTGATAATTACGTTAATGATGATAACAATCAATCACTAACTGATGTACAAACAACCGATTCCCGCTTTTCTTAATAAAATGTCCCCAGACTCGCGCTGGTATATAACAAATTCTGTTGGCTCCAAAGTAAAGTGAGTTATTATTTGTATTTGTACCAAGGGCAGTACAACAAACTACGGTAATGACGTAGGACTGGAATAAACATAAATGGGAATATAGAATAAAAGAGCCTTCTTTCCACACACACACACACACACACACACACACACACACACACACACACACACACACACACACACACACACACACAGCTCTTTTCTGTTCTTTGGTTTTAGCGCCTGGCCGACGCGCTCACACATCACTCAGAGATATATATTGTTTGTTTTTGGTACATTTATTTCCATGTTATCGTTTCCATTTCTTCACTGTTCGTTCTCTTCTTTAAACACACATGAAGGTATCTTACCAGACGATGTTGAAACAGTTTTCGTCGTTTAAATAAACAAATCTTCTCTGCAGTGCAATGCAGCGGTCAAAAAAACCGTGTGGCTTCACAACCAAACTAGAACCCAGAGTATAATCAGCAGGACTCTTTTAACCAGCTGAGGCCATCGCAGCACCAATCAGCCGCTCCGCCCCACCGTGGCTGCGGATCCCGATCAAATTACACCAATCAATTATACTCCATTACATACATTAAATGATTAAATAATCAAAATAATAAATCAACGTTTTGGCTCCTACATAGACAAAAAAGAAAGTAGAAAAAAATGTGTTATTATTACCACTCAAACAATTTCATTAGTTTCATTTTGTCCCTGTGTGTTCAGTGATTAGTCTTGTGGGCATTTAGGCTCTGGGTTTTCTGTCAGCCCTTGTGAGAGTCTTGACGTTGGATGGATGGATGTTTGGTTCTGAACTAGTTTATGTGTTTCCTTCCTATACTTTGTTATAAGGAGTTTGATTTCTACCAACGGGTTACTGCACTTGGGTCCTATATGCCTCGCTGTCCAGCCGTGAAAAAGCCTGGATTTTCAAAACATTTGGAAATTAAATATATTTAATGAAAAATATTTTTAAAACTGCTTAGAAGTGGAATTTGTATCATACTACTTTTAGTCTTTGGGCACATAGGACAAACACGTTTTGTCCTCAAATGTGATGTAATGTATTGAAATAACAGTAGCCCGATGTACCCAGAGACTATATGCTGTTAAGACAAACTCATTTCCCGACAAAGGTTACCAAATCTGTTCAAACAAGTAATTCTCACATGAGGTTAATATATTCGGCTTTATTATCAGTTCTCCCAACATTGTTTTGTTCAAAGCCACATTGTCTCTCTCTCTCTTTTCTTTCTCAGAGGGGGGGTTCAGCTCATAACTGCGGGCAGCTGAAGGTGGGTCAGGTGATCCTGGAGGTGAACGGGGCGACCATGAGGGGCCGCGAGCACAGGGACGCCGCACGCCTCATCGCAGAGGCCTTCAAGACCAAAGAGAGGGACTACGTGGACTTCCTGGTGACCGATTTTAACGTGGCGCTATAGCTGAGTGGAGGAGACGGCAACATGACAGGAAGAAATTGTCTATTGTTTTAAATGGCACAACTCTTTTAAACAAACACAAAGGAACCGACTGATCTCTGAGCCCTTCAGTCTGGATATATGATTTTTCATTACCGTGGACTTTGTTCAGGATTCTCCTCAACGTGTTACCTCCGCACTGTGAGACCTTATGCACTAAATGGAAAGTAGTGAAACCTTTTATTTTTCTCCTTGTGGATTTACGGAACTCCTTGTAGCACTTCCTCTTCCTTTGGTCAGTTTATTATTATTATTGATTTTTTCGCTTCTACCCGAGAAACAACCGCACATCTAAGACTGATCCACGCTCGACTTTACAAGCCTGGATTTGTAAATGTAAAAATGAACAAATGTAGATACAGATGCCTATATATACTGTACACATAAAGATACTCCTATATGAATTATAAAACCCGTAACCTCCATTGCATCATCAGCATATAGTGATATATTTAAAGATGATGATGATGATGATGCCGGCCATCCTGGTGATTCTACATATTTTATAGTGATGCTACCAGCCTGTCTGCGTTTAAGCACTCTTTCACAATAAGAAGAATGATATGTCAAGCTAACAGAAATACACGTTACATGCTTTAACATAAACATACATGTATGAGGGAAGGGCACCACGCAAATGCACCTCAGTTCCTGTTTCTTTCCACTTCCATGTTTATATGTATTTTTCACTACTTTATGAACTCTTAAACAGCTGAATTTTCAATTCTGTGAAAGCAAGATAAACGATCAAGGCTTCATTTTTTTACTTTATTGGCAAACAACACATTTCTAACACCTGAACTGAAGCCATGCTTCCTAGTACACACTAAAACACAATGTCGTTCAGAGTCTGTTTCTCCACGCAGCAATTTTGAAAAGCTTAGTATTCATTTTTCCCAAAATGCTGCATCAAATATTTACTTTCACATTTTGCCAGTTCTGTTTTGAGAGTGAATAAAATCCCAAATGTGTTTCCTCAGACTGCTCAGCTCTGCTCCTGCTACTCTTACAATTGCTAATGTTTCTTTTTTTATTTCATAGTTTTAATTATATACGCCCTGTGGGGGGGGAGGGGCTTGCTGCAGCCATGCTCAGTGAAGCAATTAAACCCAAGAGGGGAGTGATGAGACATTTAGAGGACGACGACACTGCCAAAGATTCGAGAAATTTTAATCTTCGACACAAATTCCATCCGCTCATAGAAAAGCAATTAGGAGATAAGCAATCAGGTGGAGTGAGAGACCGAGAGGGAGAGCGGCAAAAGTAACATGTGAGACGTGATTGTTGTTGTGATGATTTCCCTTCCTCTCAGGAAGAGTGCGAGCGTGGAGAGGATGTACAGGAAACATCCTCCCTGTGTGCAGTTATGAAGTCATTAGAATAATTCATTTTAAGTGTTCTGACATTGGACGTGTGTGTATGTCTGGAGTTAATGGGTGAAAAGATACATATGCTCAAAACAAGGAGACTGCAAATAAAGACTAATGTAAATGTCCTCCAGGGAGCTGCTGTGAGACGCAGGAGGAAGTGATGCAGGAGTCTGGGCAGCTCTGTGAGGAATCAAACACTCCTGAATCATTCTGCTGACAACTCTGAGAAACACATGCTCTGTGTACACCATACTCATTCAAAATGTCAACCTTTAATGAAGAACAACAAAAGGTTGTTTTTTGAAAGGTCATACCCACATCCTTGCCCCGTAATGCCCGATTATGAGCCCGTTGTATTTATTTTGTAAAGTCTTTCAGACCAGACATTAATCGATTACTCAATTTACAAGTGGGATATTTTAGTGCATGGATGGACTTTGGCCCCGAGACGCTGATGAATGTTTGTGACTCTGATTTGGTCTCCAGCTGCTTTTTTTACCAGCTTGTTTCGAACTTTGTCCGTCTGTTGTTTGGTGTCAAATTCGAAATGTGGGCTTTGTGAAAAAAGATAGTAGGACGAGAGGAAGAAGGAGAGGAAGAACAAGGATTCAATCAGAGAAGAACTTTAGTAATACTTTATCGATCGCAGAGGGACAATGTATTGTTGTACTAACAACTAACAAACTCTAGATCTACACATGCACCAACAGGACTTATCATAAAGAGCTGTTTGGTTAGATGAGGGTTTGGTGCCTTGCTCAAGGGTTCCGTGGTAGAGGCCACTCTCCAGCTACTAATCCACACTGTGGTGAAACAAAGTACTACTACAAACACAGTCGGAGCGTCCATTGCAAGCTAACTTCAAACTTTACTACAGTGGGTAAAATGGTGGTCGAAGTTGTATGAATTACGAAGACACCCCAAATACGCCTTTATACATACAGTATACTCTGTGTGCTGTTAAACCAAAACAATTAGCTAATACTACAAAACCTAGTAGAGTTGCCGAACAGTTAGTACCATATGTTAACACAACAAAATGTCCCTTCTCACCCTGCATCTCTCACAATATGTGTAATAAGCGCAGACATGGAATTCCTCATCTTAAAATATGTAAAATTATGCAAATGTCTGTTATTGGGTTGTGTCCAATTCAACACTGACTGAGCATCATTTGAACTTTGTTTTGAGTCTTTTTCAGCCCACATCCTCTTGAGGACAGAGCCCAGATGTGTTTTGGCACAGGATCGGGATGCGTATATTTGAAGACAAACAGGAAAAGATTGATATATATTTTAACGTGGCTGCCTACAAAACCAGACAGATATTCAGGAATGTTTAAATATCCTGCCTCACAGAGCGAGGAGTAAAAAGACAGTCCACATGAAAGTAGTGACAGGAAGAAGTCAATCCAGATGGGATAAGTCCACTGGGTGACACAAAAATGACATCATGAAACTAACACTTTTAAGCTAAGGCTTTTAAAGAGGCTCTTGTCCTGTTGCTAACATGTTAGTATAGCTCATGTTGACCATAAATAAAACACCAGGCTTGATCATTAGTTATTGTATTAATCTCTAGCATCAGTTTAGTTACTGAGGGCCGCATGGAGCAGCTCTTATTTATTCATACATTTAGCGTCTGAGAGCCGATCAATATCTGGAAGAAATATATACTCGCCACAACCGCAAACAAACTTAAAATGCTAGTGTGTGTGTGTGTGTGTGTGTGTGTGTGTGTGTGTGTGTGTGTGTGTGTGTGTGTGTGTGTGTGTGTGTGTGTGAGTGTGTGTGTGTGTGTGTGTGTGTGTGTGTGTGTGTGTGTGTGTGTGTGTGTGTGTGTGTGTGTGTGTGTGTGTGTGTGTGTGTGTGTGTGTGTGTGTGTGTGTGTGTGTGTGTGTGTGTGTGTGTGTGTGTGTGTGTGATTTAGATAAGCAGACAGAGACATTCAGACAGATGAAGCAGGACTGCGTCCTCTGTGGAATAACTCCACTGAACAATCTGATCTGGAAGGAATCGCAGCCACAAAGATGAAGGCTTTTGTTTCCTGAAATATCTTTTGAACATTGTAATATTTGTTTAGTGACAATGCCATATACTATATCTGCAAATATTTTATTTCATTTAGATTCGCTACTAGGGTGTTTTAAATCACCTGGAGGGTAATATATTCCACTAAGGTTATTCTCCCCCTTCTGAGAGAAATAAAACGCTTAAAAGTGTGAAATCAGTTTTTGGTACCTATTCCCAAAAGAATGAAAGCGCCACAGAAGCCTTTTTACACTGAAAGGAAAAAGTCAGAATATACCAAAACTAACAATAGAACCCTTCTGACTTCTCAACTCTGTCAGCGGCCCATCGGTTACTAATGAAGATGTAAATACAAAATATATATTATAACATGAATATATATTTTTAAATAAAGGAGCTCTGACAGAGATATCAGAAGTGTTATTCATTGTTAGTTGTTTTTTTAAATATATATATTTGCAGTATATAAACTATAACCTTATATTTAACAGAAGATGTCAAACATCCAACATGTTACGTACGCAGCCACTCAAGGAGTTTCCCTAAATAGAGTCTTGATTTAAGAAAATTCAGATTTATTTTCCAAACTGTTTTTCTCAGTGCTAGGGACATTATACATCTTCAAAAATAAAACGATTTCTGGTATACGAAAAGTTGACAAGAAACAGTTAAATGATCACTTAATTTAATAACTTGAACCAAGATAAACAATTCCAGCTGCATAAGAGTGGCTGCAGGTTCAATCTCAGTGTCCGTTAATGCCAAAGTTCCCTCGAGCCACTCTGCGCCCCCTTCCCGCTCAGGTGAAAAGTAGAGAAAAGTCTCAGAGAAATAAATAACATGTTATCATATTAACCATAATATATCTATTCAGACATTTTAAAAGCATATTTAATCTGCAGATGAACCCCTCCTCGTCACAGAAGCTTTATTCCTCCATAATGGCCCGTCCATGTGTGGATGGAGACCCCTCCTTCTCTTTGACCTGAGATCAGAGGGCCATCCGGGTGTTGGTCAGGCTGTAGGAAGGTGTGACACCCCCCCCCCCCCCCCCCCCCTCAACTACTGCTTCCTAGTAGCAAAGGTCAGACTCATAAAGCTCCACCTGTTGAGTCCGTTAATAACGTTTCTTTGTTACACTGAGTGTGCCTCCTGCTTTATTAGCTGCACAAGTTCATTTTGTCTGTTCATTTCTCCCCCCCCCCGTCTGCCATTGCTCTTCAGCTCCTCTATTGTCTATTGTCCTCCCGTCACTCCATCCTTTCCCCTGCTTCCTGCACATTTCAAGTGTTGTACAATGACATGCTATTTATACAGAAAGTGTGTTTAATTTTTCAATAAAGATAACTGCACAAAAACTAGCAAGGTGTCTGATTTATTATTTTGAAGTGTGAATTTGGACATTTTCAGATGTTTTGCCATCCCTTACTTTAAACACACAATGTGTAATTACTTTCTTAGACTAGGTACGGTGGCTGACAGCTGTGAATGTGTTACACTGCGCAAAACATTTCCATTACGAGAAACGGGCAACAACAACAACATTTTTTTTAAAATGTTGGCCATGAGGGTTGTGCAATAGGTCGCCATTGTCAGTATGTGCGTCTGCGTGTATTGTGTTTGTTCAAACGGTGTATGATTGATGATATGTGTATGTCTCTTAATGTCCACTATGTTTGTATATTATATACATGTATGCGGAACTGCTGGACGGAGCCCAGAACGAATTTCCTTACGGGGACAATAAAGTATATCGTATCGTATCGTATAACACAAATATAAAAACACAAATGTGCCAAAAGACATGCAAATGAAGTTTGCTTGCGTTTCTGAAGCACTTTCAGTTAACGAAGAAGCATCCAGTTGATGATGATGCCTCTTCATTTGTATATGTTTTGGCAAATTTGTGTTTTTATATTTACATCGCTTTTGAAAATGCAGCACGTTTCTTTATCCCTCCTGTTATCCTCAGATTTACTTTACACCCTTTATCCTCTGGGGTCAATTTCATCCCAGTAGTTTAAAACTCAAGACAATGATCATATTCCACATTTGAACCAACATGTATGTCTCTGGTTCTTTAGGTATCTTAGTTAACCTACATAACCATTCAAATAAAACGTTGCCCCAACTTTCCCCCCTAGACCCCTTTATACATCCAGAATTCCTATTATGTGACCATCGAAAAATATATAAATCACCATAAAATCTCACTGACTGAAATCAAATGTTAAAGTTAGATATTGTTGATGTTGTTAAAGGACCAATAACTAAAGCAGAGGGTAGTTCTTTTTTTACAATGATACATTTGCATGTAATAGTCACCTCAATATCACCCTACACAATCAACACAAATATTGACATTTTTCTATGTTTTATACTAAAACAACCTGGGGTCAAATTGACCCGAAGGAACACCGATGCATACAAAGTGCGTACAGGACATTTAAAAAAGATCTTCATGTTCATATATGTTTACCCGTTAGTCCTCACTAAATTAGGAAAAGTCATGAAATATTAAGCAAAACAAATAATGTGTTTTTAGATACGTTAAACATTGAATGGGGTCCAATTGACCCCAAGGATAACAGGAGGGTTAAGGGAAATGTGTTGGGACGTTGCAGTGCGTTTGCATCTGTCGGCCACCGTATAGGGCTCTCTCAATCCAAGTCCTCCCAAAAGAGTAGAGGCTATTACAGAATGAAAAGATCAACTATGGGTTAAACTTGTTTTTGAAATGCCTTATTGGTTTGAGTGTCTGATTGTTTTTGGATATGGAAAACCATCTCGCCTGATTTTCCTCAAGAGAAGAGCCTGGGTGAAGCTCCAAGAACCAAGACATTACATTGTCCAGGATATCAGAATCCCACAGACATTACATTACATTGCATTTAGCTGACGCTTTTATCCAAAGCGACTTACAATAAGTATAGATATACAATAGACATCATTTTTCACTGATGGAAACGGCCTTGGTGGAGGTCTGCTAGTTTCTTCTCTTCAGTTACCAAAGAGCTGGTAACATGTTTTTATTTTCAAGTAGTTATGTGTTCTTTTTCACAGTAGTGAATGAGAACATTGCAAAGCCCTGTCAGGTTAATGAATTGCTTTTAGCTTTGCAAACAAACTGCCTTGACTTAATTCATTTATCAAGAAAAACATACCACGTTCCAACCTTTGAAATATGAGGATGTTATGCTTGCCTCTGTTTTGTAACATTGTAAATTGATGTTTTGAACCTTTTTGTTGGATATAACAAGTATAATAAAGATGTCAGATCATACTCTGGGAAATTGTCTTGGACATACGTTCATATATAAAGCTATTACCCATTTGTTTCCTTACTTCCAGTTGACCTTGCCACAGCTCAGACTTGAGTTTTCCTGGGTCCTCGCAGTCTGCAGCTCTGTCATTGTGTTTTAATGTTTTAGACATGCTGACAGGTTCTGGGTCAGTGCCAGTCAACATATAATACTCTGCAACTGTCTTCTCTTTCTTATCAATTCCATGTAGCAATCTGCTGGAGCTCGTCTTCTGTTATTGCTTCATTTTCCTTTTGTGGAGTTTGAATTTGACATATAATTGCAGAATTGAAGATAAGAGAGGGCCCATTGAAGTCAGCTTCAAAGTCATCTCTCTGTCTTTGTGTTTCTCTCTGTTCTATTTCAGACAGTTTTTCAAACTATTCGATTTTTTTGCAAAACCTATAAAAGTTCAGTTAACATCTAGTTGTTTTTGCCTTTGTAAATCAAAATATTGAAGACTGGCTGAACATTTTATTTGACATTCACTTACTAAAAAAGATGTTCAACAGTGTAACATCTCAGAGGGCATATTTTGAAGAGAACCAGTGTGTTACAGAGCTTAAGATCAATGAACAAATGATGGACACCCATATATTGCAGACTGTGTAATTGCTGTACATGCCTTTCGATAATAATTGGTATTCAACTGCCTACAGTCTTCTGGGGAGGTCAGGACAGTCAAGTTCTTCTGCACAGTAAAGCAAGGTATGATCCGTCTCAATGGACCAGGCGTTGTGCAGGAAGATCGTCCTGTTAAAACAGGAGAGGGAAAAATATGTTTTCGCTGTTCTGTTATGTAAACGGTCAGCCTGGGGGAAGGTCAAGGACAGTGAGTTTGAGAAGAAAAAATCTTGTCATTTATGGAGTGGTTTAGAAATAGGATATATTTTAAAACTATAGATAAAAAACATAATATATTGACCTGTATAACTTATTTTGTATATCCCCTGGCACAATGTCATAACGTTTATTTTTTTAAGTTGTTATTTAACCTACAATTAATTTCATACTCTTTTTGTATTGTCTCTATGTGTGTGTGTTTAAATATATATATATTGGGCATTGATTAAAATAAATAAATAATTTAAAATCCCCTTAAGAGGACAAATTATGAAAAGGCATCTAATTAGGGTCTGAGACCAGAGGTCGGCGAAGACCCTATTGTAATTATAATTGGATACGATCAAATGTGCAACGTCCGCCCTCTCGTGGCTCCATCTTTGTACTGCAACCTCTAGACTTGTATTCCTCAACCTAGGCGAAGTCCCGCCCCTGTGTAGCCTCATAGCCAATCATCAGTCAGTATTTTTGATTCTGTTAAGTAGTTTAATTCGCTCCCGATGTTTACCTGGCAGGCAACATGTTCCACAATAAACTCCACAAATTAAATAATATTGTTCAGATTAAGGCTAGAAAGGTTTATGATAAAGTCAAGAATACAACTTGAATAGAGGAATCATTTTACGAGGTTGATTAGAACGTTGAACATGCCTGAAATACTAAACTCAGGACGAGAATATTCCCATAATGTTTTCACATGGGTGAATACTAAATCAGCTAAATCAGTGCCATACTACACAAGACTGATAATTACCCTCCTAAATATCAGAAACCCAGGCTTTGTTTGGAGAAATTAATTCATGTGGCCCCTTCAGAATTAAGGTACCAACAATACGAGGTAGAAATGCGTCTGAATGCGGGTTATTTACGTTTGTTTTAACGTTAAGTCAAGAGTAAATAATGGTAACGATAACGAACTTTTGAAACTGGCACTGACTGTTACGTCGCTTAGTTACACTTTACGTTACTCCGTTACAGTTGAATTTAGACAACAACGTTGCTAAATTCATTTTAACGAAGGTTTAGGAGTTGAAGAAACCTCGGTAAGCTGTTTCTGTGGGTGGGGGTTTGTTGTGGTGTGTGTACCATAGTGACACGGGGGTGGGTCCTCTCGGAAGTTTTGTGGTTTTCAAGGCAACCGACCCCCGTTGCTGTGCTCTGCCTTCTGAAGCCAATGTGTCCCTCCGCGGTATGAGGTACGTTTGCAATATTGATGAAAGTGTTGTCAAAGTTTATTTCAGTCTAAAACAGTGTTATTGTTATTTCTCTGTGGGCATAGTCGGCAAAAGTGAAAAATATTGATGCTCTGTGTTCCAGCCTGACTGGTTCTTGAGCAGTTGTTGAGCCAGTCTTTCTGCAGCAGGGCTACTTGTGTTGATGTGTTGCTTCAGTCTGTCTGAAACTGTGGACCTGAAACACTGTGAGGGCTTCAGTGTTAGAGACCCCTCTGTGTCAAGACATGAGGACATGTTTACTCTGTGCAGGAATCAGATTGTTTAATCAATTCCAACTTGGTGGTAAAATACATGTTTCATCTGATGGATATTTTCTCACCAGCAAGCAACTAGAGAACATGTATTATCATTGTGTGAAAAATGATCACAGAATGACCTTCAGAGCAGAGCCAACAGGTGTTTCCCACTCAGTGATATTTGTTTATCTTATACTTATGTATCACTCATATAGGTATCAAATACTTGTATTCAATACCGCCACCATCTTCTTTCTTCTTCCCCTTTACACAGATCAGCTGTGTAAGAGCTTAGTCTTGTAAAACACAGTCTAAAATGCAATAAATGTAAAAAATCCAGTAAACAATAGTCAAATATAAAAGCAATGATGAGTAAATGGTATTTAATGAACTGCTTGATGTGGAATTGAAAAGGACTTGGAATTGTAATTAAATTGCTAATTCAGCTGTAACATTTTACTTTGAAAGGGTTAATTATTTCTAAATCAAGGCCTTTAATTAGCAGCTTGTCGGTTAACATGTTTTTATAATTGATTAATACATTTATAGACAAAACATTATTTATTTGCAAATTAACGTTCAGTCTATAAATCAGAAGGAAATTGTAAAACAAATAAATTCTCAGTGAAATTAAGTAAACAAAACAATAAACTAATCCTCACATTTTAATTCTGAGACTAGAAAATGTTTAGAATTTTCCCCAATGAATAAGTTAAATGATTAACTGAGTATTATTTAAGATAACATTTCATATAATGATAACATTTCAGGAGTTTATCAATCAACTAACTAACTACTAATAAAGGACTGGCTTACCTAAAGCCAGTTGAGTAGCACTTGAAATGTTTGGCTCTATGAAACCTGATATATATATACTTATATGATTCTGTTTTCTTCAAGGTTGTGTCTTCCTGGTCGAATGTACTTATTGTAAGTCGCTTTGGATAAAAGCGTCAGCTAAATGCCATGTAATGTAATGTAATGTAATGGATGATTTTAAGTAGTTGAACAGTTTCATTCAGGCACTGCTCGGCCGGCACACTGAGTCTTGTGAGTAAGGAGATTATCTGTCATGTATTAGTGAGCAGGACACACACAGGCTGTGGAGCAGCTCCACTCTGCTCAGAATCCCCCCGTGTCATCCTGTGAATATTCAGGTAGTGTCTGTTTTACGACAGCTTTGGCGGCACTGGGAATGACAGTCGAGCCAGAAATCCTCTCTCTCTCTCTCTCTCTCTCTCTCTCTCTCTCTCTCTCTCTCTCTCTCTCTCTCTCTCTCACTCTTTCTCTCTCTATTTCAATACTTTCACCCACCTGTCCAATCCTGACAGCCTGTCTCTCTATCTGAGCTGAGCTAGCCTCTTTCCTGGAGGTATTCTGATGATCATTGTCTAACCGTGAAGCCCCCTCTAAGGGCTTGAGAGCAGCTTAGTTCCCCCCATCTGGCGGCTGAGATAAACCCTTAGATAAACCATTAGTTCCCCCAGGAATGAGCAGGGAGCAGAGCAACAGGTGAGATGTTTCTTTGCTTTATTCTTACTAAAGAGAAGATCACAAATCAAATATCTATGGAAAACTTAGAAGGTCTTTGATGGAGGATATTCTGTACGTGCTGTGAATATGCTAACTGTTAAAGCCCAACACGTGTCTGTCAAACAGAAACAAAGTACCACCAACAACTGTAACAAGATGGCAGAGCCGGTTCCACAGAAGAAGTATTTAGAGCTGTTGTTCAGTAGAAGTAGAAACACTGCATGCAGCTTTCTGAATAGAACAGAGCCATCGTTCATCTTATTTCTTACACCTTTACTTTGCCCACTACGTCCAAATGTTTGCTGTGAAAAAGGCCCACGTGTATGAATGCTTTGGACGCCTGAGTTTTAGAACAAATAACAAAATATGTTATATTTTACATATAAATGATGGACATGAATTCTTGGCAAGAAACATTCCCTGGATCCAAGGAACATCAGCAGAGACACATTTAATTACATGTTGGTAAAAGAACCCGGTGCTTTTTAGCAGTATCTCCAGTAATGTAGCTGCTTTGCTCTTTAAAATAAAACAATTCAGCTTGAAGTTAGCATGGGACATCTTTGTTTGCAAAGTAATCTACTCTAAATAGTATTTTCCGCTATTGCATCAGTGTAATTCAGTATATATATTTACCACTTAAATGTAAGGAAGCACAGGCATAGTTGCACACAATCAAGACGCTTAAGTAAAGTAAAGCATCTTTAAGGTTTTATTTTAAACCGCTGATATTTTCATTTCCCCCTGGCTGACGTTGACTCGTTGTCTTGAGTCCCTGGATATTCAGGTGTGTTGGAGGAGACAATGCGTAAATAGTGCCATAATTAGACTGAGAACTCTATCTATTCTTAAGTTGTTGTTTTTCTACCTCTCAAATTGTTTGTCCACTGAGCTGTGTGTGGTCTGCTTTAAATGCATGGTGAGTTTGCCATGTGGGCCGGTGTGGAGGGATCATGTGGCTCTGTCCCACTGAGCCCTGTGGACGCACATGAGTGTGTCTGGCTTTCTGAGTGAAAAGCCTACGTACGTGTGTGTGTGTGTGTGTGTGTGTGTGTGTGTGTGTGTGTGTGTGTGTGTGTGTGTGTGTGTGTGTGTGTGTGTGTGTGTGTGTGTGTGTGTGTGTGTGTGTGTGTGTGTGTGTGTGTGTGTGTGTGTGTTGTGTGTGTGTGTGTGTGTGTGTGTGTGTGTGTGTGTGTGTGTGTGTGTGTGTGTGTTTCTAAGGGTCTGTGACCTGGTATGTGGTCGGGGTGTTTGTGCCTGCTGCCGATACTGCTTCAAAAAATGTAATATCCTGAATGTATATCTGATCCAGACAGCTGGTTTTTTATCCATCTTTTAAAAAAGTAAAAATATGTGCACGTATCTCAGGAAAAAGGTGTTTTTCAAATCTATAAAAGGGGACGCCAGATAGGTCAGTGCCCGTATCGGTATCCACTGCCAAGTACAGGGGTTCGTCTCGTGAGCCCATGGACATTTCAGGCAATGTCATCCCCTCTGTCCCCCCCTTTCAACACGGTATCTCTAATAAAGCCACTCTCTGGCCGAACAAATATAATAACAATTAGAAGGATAAATACTAGGGCCGGGACTTTAACGCGTTAATTAAGATTAATTACACAAAAATTAACGCGTTAAAAAAATTAACGCATTTTAATCGCACTTATTTTTGCACCGCGGAACGTTTCTCACTGGATGAGTTTCAGGCGTACCGATTATACTGGAGCACCAACTAACGTTCATGACTTCAGACAACAACAAACCACAGTGAACAACAGTGGGAAATGTTGTTTTAAAAAACGGACGGATGGAAGCGTCGATAAGAGCACGGTTGTGTGCAAATTATGCAAAAAGGAATTCGCATATCACCACATCAAGCCTCAAGTATCACCTCAATGCAAAACATATAGCAGCTAGCGTGGAAGCTAGCGTGGACGTTAGCCTCTTTTATCGCGTTCACACCAAAAAGAGCCGGTACTAAAATTAGTTCATGAGAACCTTTTTACCCCCACGAAAGTCCCTGCTAGAGAGCAGAGAGCTGCTAGAGAGCAGGGACTTTCGTGCGGCTCTCTTGTGAGAAAAGAGCTATATTTCTGATTGGCTGGAAGGATTGCAAACCACGCCCCGTAAAACTCCCAAAAAGTTTGTGAAGCCGCCATTTTATTATCCTCGCATTAGCATTATTAGCATTAGCCCAGCGCAGAAACGCAGAGAGACTAACTTATGGCAACACAAAATAAAACATGGGAGCGGTGGAGATGAGGAGGTGTCGGCGTTCTGGCGATTTACTCAGAAGGCTTCAGTAGAAGCTGCTGGGAGCTTCTACTGAAGCCAGTCCCCAACTCCGGGGACTTTGGGTGGCAGTATACGCCGTGAAGTGGTTTGCGGCCTGCCAGTAAACCCAAAGCAGAAGAAGAAGAAGTGACGTCAGCGGCTTCATTTGCCTAATCCTCCCCCAGGTTCAAAGAGTTCTCATGAACTAAGTTCTCATGAACCTTTGTGGGAAAAGTACTGCGGTGTGAATGCGCCTAATGGTATACTAAAATCCATGTGAAAAAAAATTGCTTCTCACTGTTCTTAGGTCAAATATGTATATGCGATTAAAAATGCGATTAATTTCGATTAATTCATTACAAAGCCTCTAATTAATTAGATTAATTTTTTTAATCGAGTCCCGGCCCTAATAAATACATGATGTAGAAATGGTGCTGTTACACTCTAAAGTTCCTTTATTAAATGTTTTATAGAGATGGACTTAATGTACTTTTGAAAATGTGTTTTAAGATGATTTAAGTATACATTTTGGTGTGAGGCTCTGGGACTTATGTTAAGACTAGTCAGAGCTGTATCACAGACGCTAGAAAGCACAGCTCGTGTTGTGTGGTTGCCATAGTGACCGTTGCATCTCTAGGCCAGTTCTTGGGGGACTAACAGTCTAATCCAATCTCCATTAGATGTAGGATGTGTGTATGTTTACTGTAAAGGCTGAGTTGTGCAACCTGACAGCACAGGATTTAAGGAGGGGTAATAAGGTAAATGACCAACAATCACCTAATGTCACTTTGGATCCTAATCTTTGAGTGCTGCGTCTCACATAGGATGTCAGACAAAATGTGTCATACTGTGACTGAACTGTGACACCACGGCAAGTCCATAATGAAATAAATAACCCACATGAACTGTACGCACGCCTGAAACAGTCTATTACAGTTGTACGCTTTAGGCATAATATGTATTATACATACCTGAAATAATTCCTAATTTTAGAGCTGCAACTTGTTATTACATTTATGATAAGCTAATCAAAGTTAGAAAATTGCTTCATTTTAACAGTCAAGGTTTAGAATATGCTTACATTTGAAATGACAACAACCTCACCACTAAACGACTTTGAAACCTTCTGGGGTCTGACACCGTACATAGACTGGACCGGAGCTAAGCATTAAATAATCACGATCAAAACATACATTCATAGTAACAAGAAGTGATGACAGAAGCCTGGAAATATTTGGTTACGGTACTTTCAAAGTGCTTTCTTCCATCTTGTAAAGCTGTAAGCATAAACCCATGCAGAGAGTGGTTTGTACAGGAGGTGCAGTATTATATCAGGATATGACCACCCTGTGATGTAATAAGTTAAACATACTAAACTGAGAGTACCATTTTGTTTTTCAGGAACTGCATTCAAAGAGACCCCCCCCCCCCTTCCTTAAGACTGCAGACTGACTGAAAGCTCCTCCTTAGCTCTACCTCTGGATTGTAACCACTTTTCTGACATGACCTGTAATCGATGACCTTCTGCAGTCATGGCTTTGAACGTGTTCCTCACAGATCAACAAGAAAGGATGAAGGACGCTACAGTGCCAGGCTAAGACCATCTGAGGTCAGAGCTGAGGCCTAGAGGACAATGGAGAGAATAAATAATACCAAAGCAGGGGTGATTTGCTGGACCCCTGCCCCGGCCCCCAGCTCGCCCACCAGCTCTGTGATATATGAGGAGGACTGGGATGGTGAGGATGAAGAACAGACAGAGAAAAACGACGACTTTGATAGCCAGATGGACGACAATGGCATCATCGGACTGTCTGAAGCACTGGAGGATGCAGGGTTGGTGGACTCAGATAGTCATTCAAACTCCCGTGGACCCCTCACCCCAGAGGAGGAAGACCCTAGTGGGCATGAGAGGGAGACGCCTGAGGAGCTGAGCAACAACCTGAGTGAACATCTGTCCCACACCGAATCAGAAGAGGACAAAACTCTGTCATTATGTGAGTCTTTCCTTTGATGTATTCTAGATCTGGTAAAACTGCACCCAAACGAATATACTGCTCATTATTTTAGCTCATTAAATCTAAACTAAGACTTTAAGTAGCTGCACGAGAAATGCATGTTGTTAAAAGCATACACGTTTTTTCCTAAGTATAATCAAAAGATATAGAGAAAAAAAATAGGATCGGACTTCTCAAGGCTACCATGAGTCCACAATCACTCTACCAATACATTATACTGAATTGATTGGACTCGAACATATCTTAAAGCCGAAGCTGATGTCATCATGTTGCCACTTGGCTTTTGTATTATTGGCTGTTTATTGGCTATAATACCATTATCGTACACAAACCTAAGTTTATCATCACTGCTATCTATTTTTCCATCTCTTCCTCAAGGTCAAATACCGCTAAGCAAAACCGGTCTTTGTGTGGATGGGGGTTTTAACAGTTTTTTGAAATGTACAGCAAGTTCATGTCAATTTGGACATAGTTATTGGGCAATACCAGTTTACCTTCTTCAACTTGAATGTATATCTTGCAAACACACTTAAGAGAGTCCTTCAAAGCTAGACGAGCTTGACCCCTATCTGGTGGGACATGATTTATGCCTTCCTTGTGTTGAAACCTGTCTTCACCTTTCTCCATAACTCCATGTGTTTGGCAGATGAGGACTTGATTGAGAGCTTTGAAGCACAACAGTTGGCTGGAAAGGTCGGGCAGAGGAAAGAAGAGCCGGGGAAAGAGTGTGTCTCTGAGTGGGACAAATACATGGAGGAGAAAGATGGAGAGGTAGCAGGGAAGAGGAGTGACAGGAAGAGAGAAAACGATCAACACAGAAGAGAGCTTGGAACTACCAATGGCTTTTCTGAAGAAGAGATTGAGAAGACCAACTCTAAGCCATATTGTAGTGCTCACCTGTCAGAGAAGGAACCTGTCAGAGTCTCCACTCACCACCGCAGAATATCCCAGCCTGCCTCCCCTCTCACAGCGCTCTCCTTCCCCCACCTTCTCCACTTCACCCCTGAGGAAATGGCTGCTGCTCAGGGCATTGACACCGAAACCTTACCAGACAACAGCGCCGCTGAAAGTCTTCCAGAATCACACCGCAGCCACCTAAGCCCTGAGTCTAGTACTCGCTGTCCTGAGATAAAGCCCAGGGCTTCTCTTCAGCCGGCAGACATGTTCTCTGATGAAGGAACCTCAAATCATTGCAGTCGAGTTAGTAAATTGCCCTCAAAGGGACAAGATAAGTCTGATAAACAACCAAGTCCCTCACCAAGGAAGTTGAGGCAGCCATCTCCTGAAGCAACATATCCACAGACTCGATCCCTCGGCACAGCCAAGTCCTTAAAGTTCAAACAGAAAACAGCGAGTCCTGACGGAGAGTCGAGGATACCCAGACCCAGGAGTAATGCTGCTGAAGTGGACGAGTCCAGGTGACACATTGTTTTACCACACGTAAGGCTGCAGCTTTTCACACATCACGATGCACTCACCATGATTTATATTTGTATTTCCAGAAAAGGGCCTCTGAGTTATCGCATACCAGACTTCTCCAACGTGGAGCCCAGGGTCTTTTTCCCAAAAGATGGTTACACCCCCCCTAAGAGTACACGCTGTTTCAAGAGAGAGTCCTCGTCCCCTGGGCCCCCCTTCATGTTCAAATCCCCCGCTGACATCGTGAAAGAAGTCCTGCTGAACTCCCACAATACATCTCCTGCCTCATCAGACTCCTGCAAGCCAATCAGCAGTGCCCTGAACTCCAGCGTGCCTCAGGACTTCAGATCCCGCCTGCAGGCCTCCGACCTGCTGGACCAGCTGCAGGTACTGTCAGAGGCTGAGAGAGCATCTACGATAGCTGCCTGAACCTAAGTTGAAACAAAGCTTTTCAAAGATAGTCTATTAGGGTTAGCTAGCTTCACGTGTTATGTAAGACACAGAAAGCGTATCTTTTGGAAAGCCTGTTGAGTCTTGTTACAGTTAAAAAGACAACTTTGTGTCCCCCTATTTTATATCCAACAAGTGGAAATGCAGGTGATTATTTGAAGTTGTATGTATGTTTGAAGTTGTCAGATCACTTAACTAAAAACGACTTTTGATAGAGATTTGGTCGGCAAAGCAGTGCAGGAGTAACTGCAAAGATAACATTCATTAAATGTTTTGTACATTACATAAACAGAAGTATGTGACAACCCACATGTTATTGTTACAATCATATTGAAACAGCTGCTGCTACAACATCTGATCAGTTTTTGGAACCTGCTGCATGTTCAGCCACGAGAGCATCAGTGAGTCCAACACTGATGTCAGGTGAGGAGGACACAATGGGGGTTCCAGTGTATCAGTGTGGGGTGTGGGGTGTGGTTGAGGTCAGAGCAGGCCAGGCAAGTTCTTCCACACCAAAGTGGGAAACTATGACTTCATGGAGCGGGGACTGTGCACAGGAAAGGCTCTTTCCCTAAACTGCTGACACAAAGTTGGATGCACGCTTTGGTCTGAAATATGATCGTAAGCTGTGGCGTCTATGCTTTATTGGAATGAATGGGACCAAACGGTGAAAAACATCCTCAGGGTGAAGAAGTATTTTTAATCTACACCGTTCATCTTTGTCCTACTGTAACACTGCGTCTTGTTTCGTTCTCTCTGCCCACTCATTCCCCACCCAATCTCTCCCCCCCCCCCCCCCCCCCTGCAGGAGGACTACTACAGACTGCTGACTAAGCACGCCGACGCGGAGAACACCATTGATCGCCTGCGTCTGGAAGCCAAGGTAGTTCATCTGGAAATCAGGCTGTCATGTATCACTATGTATGTGCAGGGTTATAAAGGGCCGTGCATCGGGGCCTAAAGATGTATTCTTTCCCTCAGCTTTAAACCACTATAGCACCTTTAAGTCATGAGATGGATAAAGGTGATACAATATTCAATGAAAACATTGTCTCTGAACATACTGTAGGTGGAAGACATAAAGTTTAACAAAAATACACATTTGACTTTATTGTCTTATAATGTTAGCAATAGCTTTGTGAAGGGGGCGGCAGTGAAAGCATCTTAATGTTTGTTTAACTTTTGACAATATAAGATCATTGTTCATATCAAATCTGATAGACATCATACATTGATACCGTTTTATGTTTAAACAAAGGCTGCAAGAAAATGTGACGTAACTTTTGTAGAAAACAACTTTTCTCAAAGATTCAAGGGATACATGCGTGAAAAAATGTAATCACAAAACACCAGATAAGTTCAAAACAAATTACGAGAAGACATTTAAATACATTAACAATAATCGTAACAAAAGAGACTGTTCTGGTATTAAATTGGTTACTGTAAGTGAAAATGTTACATTAAAGAATTCAATATAGAACAATAGACAATATGCACATACATATAATTGCACTAATTTGTATACATTTGTAAGTAGACCTTAAGAGATATATAGACACACATCACATATGCTACATATCCAAGGTCACATGACATGGCTAAATAAATAAAACATCTGTTATAAGAAGGTCCTCTTGGGACTTTTAGCCAATGGCTGTCCTCCCTTTGTGTGTGTTTTGTAGCTCCTTCATTTTCCGTTGATTGAACAGACAGACTATTGATTCAAACAGTCCATAGATAATTACATTCACATATTGTTTGGGTGTTAGTGTAGCGATGTAATATGACAGCATTACTCAACTATATTCTGTGCCTTTTAATGTGTAATGTCACAATAACTTCTCCAAGGACAGGAACAACCAGAGTTACAGCATCAATATATACATATTAATAATCTCATAATTGTCTATATAAATGCAAGCAGTGCAACAGAAGCCACATTAAGACAATCAAGCAACAACTACAATATTATATGATTTAAGTTGTAAAATATGCTAATGTATTTATTTCTTGTTGTCTGTTTTTATTCCTATATGTATTTGTCTACGGTACAGGACTTTATAGATCCAGGAGAGCAGGAGCAGGCATGTTCAGCGTCTCACAGACAGAGAGTAAGTCAGAGCCAGAGAGAGAGAGTAGGAGAGACAGGAGAAGGCTAGGGTAGGAACTGCACAGTCAGCACCAATTACAGAGCCAACCGAGGCCTATGCATCTCCTCCATCTCCTTCACCAGCACACTGAAGCACCATCTGCCCCTCTGATAGTATAACATGAACACAGGCTCTATCGAGGGGTGGCTTTGCACCGACATCTATTCAGATTGTTTTCTGGTTTTGTACATCTTTTAATGTCAGTGCTGTTTACAAGAAGATAGCTTAAGAAACCATACTTTACATGAATCTTGTTATCTTATTAAAAAATACGTGTTTTTAAAGGGACTGTTGAGGTCGGTTTGAGGTCATCATGATTTATTGCTCAGAGGGGAGGGGCGTCTATTCATTGTGAGTTCCATTCAATTCCGTTATGTGTGTTAAATGAGTAGGCTTGTAAAACAGACATTTAGAGAAAGCCCCTCCTCCCTAAATCAACAAAGGGTTATGTTGATCACTCGTGGGTTAGAGCTCGTTGTGAATGGAGCTTTGTGCCCCGGACATTTTGCCTTGCTATAATATATGCTTGTTGGCACTGTGCTTACCACCTGATCGCGACACTTGGTCTAAAAATGGGGAAGTCTTCAAATGTTTCCTCTATGGAGGGTAATAGATGTGCCAATATACCACTAGACTTGTTTTACTTCTCCACCAGGTGAACCTGTTCTCCGACCCCCCAAAGCCCGGCCACTTGGTGCAGTCCGGACCGAACCAAGGCTCCTCAAAGATGATGGTGCTGGACTTCCCTCGGGCTCAGAGGGCAGAGATAAGCTCCGCCTCTCTCCATCCAAATGGACAACAGAGTACAACAATCTTATTCCATTTCATTTCATATATCGTTTATTAAAAAAAATGGATGATTCAGCTTCCCCTTTAGCCACCTAAGTCACCCCTCTACTGATGTATTTCCGTATGATGAGATATTTACGTATTTTATTCTTCCACTTTGGAAGCCAATGTTGTAGTTTTTACTCAACTCCTTGTCAAAACTTGACGTGTTTAGTTACTCGTTACATTACAGATTCAGAATATTAGCTAAAACAACATATAAATCAACTAATAAATACACTTTGAATTCTATATAATAATTCAAGTAAAGGTTAATAAATCCAGCAGCACACACAGTTATTTGGATAGGCTCCATCTTTACCAGCTGTTTGAACACAATAATGCATAAATAATTATAATTCAGACATTTAATATACATGTTTCCGGCTTTTGGTACTTCAGTATATTTTGATGCCAATACTTTTGTACATTTATTTAAGTCTGATTTTGAATGGGACTCTAACTTGTAACAGAGTATTTTTAACAATTTAGTGTAGGTACTTTAACTTAGGTACAACATCTGAGTACCTCTTCCACCACTGTTTACATTTTCATCAAAGTGAACACAGAAACATGAAGTGACTTCTACTCTAGCTGCTAGAATGTTGCCTTGTTCTCTAAAGCTTGCATTATCTTCTTCCCTCTGCACTTGTGTGTCAACAGGAAGTCCATCAGCTTGTTCTTCCACAGAAAGCCCAGACCCTGAGGTGGGACAGCAGCTGGCCAGCATTCTCTACTATCAGGCCGACAAGTTCCTCCAGCAGGTACGAGATCCTTTAAAACGATCAACAGTGACGCTAGAGTTTAGATGATGTGATGAAAATATTAACGTTTTTACTCAGATGCAGACTTTTGAGCATCTCCTGAAGAGCAAAAGACTCAAACCTCTGGATCAGAAGAAGGTAGGAACTTTAACAGTTTAAACCGTTTGGAAGAATGTCCTCTTAAAGCCCCTTCCTCTAATGAAGCTCTTCTCCAGGGGGTCTCGCAGCTCGCTGAGGGGCTCGACTCTTTGGAAAGGGGATACCTGTTAGCCAGGGATGACTACAAACTCCTGCAGCAGCGAGGAGCAGAAAACAGCTTCTTTGACCGTGACCGGTGAGAGCAGAAGATAAAAACATCACAGGTTAAATGTATCTTCCATACCTCTGTGTGCTCAGTTGTGTTTATGATGTGTGTGACAGGGAGCTGGAGGGGCTGGTCTTTCAGTGTGGGCTGCATATGGATGAGCTGAAGGAGCTGGTGGAACGGATGCAACGGGAGCAGCCAATCAGTGAGGCTCCTCCCTCTCCACCTCCTCACCCCACCCCCTCATCTGACCCCTCTGAGGGGGAAGAAACTCACACACAGGTACCATCAGCTTTCTCTGTATTCATACACTTACCTTTTTTACTTTTGTATCCGTTGTAAAGTCCATAAATAGTTTTTTACGTTAATCCTTTCTAAAATAAATGTCTGTCTTAAGGCGTTTGCTCTCCTGCTTGTCACGCACAACAGGGTGCAAGTCCTTACACGTTATATCAATTACATCTTTATTTAATGAATCACTTTATTCAAATCGTTGGAGGATTAGCATTTTTCTTAGGATGATAAGGTTATAAAATATGACGGCAGACGTGTAAAAAGCTTCACTTGAAAAACACAATAGATACTTTTAATATTGTAAACGTGTTGTGGATCTTTTTTGCTATTTCCAAAGATTTTATAGAATAAACAATTATTTGATAAATCCAAATATAATTGACAACATATAGATATTTTTGGAAATTGTAAATAGTATCCCTAAAGCTGGTCCTAGTGCGGATTTCAATATTATATTAAATTGGATATTTACACTTGTGTTTATAATCTGGGTTAAAGGGGACCTATCATGCAAAATACACTTTTTCATGTCTTTTATACATAAATGTGTCCCCGGTGTGTCGGGTAACTCACGCAGCGTCAGAAAATAAAACCCTCTCTTTTCCTCCGTACCCAAATCTCTAAAAACGGGGCTACAACGGAGCTGATCCAGATTTGCGTCCGATATGACGTCATATCGGAAATGTGGACCCACGGCCCTAACAGAAAGTTACTATCAGAAACAATGCCCGACTGTTTTGGACGTAATATGGTCTGTGTTTACATTAGCATCGCTAACACCTGTACTGCACAGAGCATAATAATAATAATAGCTTGGATTTATATAGCGCCTTTCATGGGACCCAAGGTCGCTTTACAAGGAAGAACAGGGCAAAACAAACATAACAAAACAAAAGGCAATCAGACAGACAAAAACAACAAATAGATTATTAGGGGCCAAAGGCCTTGGTGAACCCTTTTGAAGGCGTCAAGCGTGGGGATGTTGCGGATCTCCGCAGGGAGAGCGTTCCAGAGGGTGGGGGCTGCCACGCTGAAGGCTCTGTCCCCGAAGGTTTTCAGTTTGGTGCTGGGGGTGGTAAGCAGGCCAGAGTCTGAATACCGCAGGTTCCGGGGTGGGGCATGTGGGTGAAGGAGGTCCGATAGGTACTGGGGGGCATGGGCATGGAGGGACTTGTAGGTAAGGAGGAGGACTTTGTAGGTGATGCGGGACTTGACCGGCAACCAGTGGAGGTGGATGAGGGTGGGAGTGATGTGCTGCCACGGCTTTGTATGTGTGAGTACCCTAGCTAGCAGCACAGTTTTGGACATACTGGAGCCTGTCCAGGGTTTTGTTTGGAACCCCAAACAGGAGACCATTGCAGTAGCCCAAGTGGACTAGGGTTTCGACAACCGACTCCGAGAGTGACGGTCGGAGTCTTGCAATGTTCCTTAGATGGAAAAAGGCCGATTTGGTCACAGACTTGACGTGGGAGTGGAAGGAGAGGGTGGAGTCGAGGATGACACCCAGGTTGTGGGCTTCAGGAGATAGGGAGATGGAGTAGCCGTCAACCTCGAGGATGAAATCACCAACCTTCTGGAGCAGCGCCTTGGGTGCCACAACCATGAGCTCTGTTTTCCTGCTGTTTAGTTTGAGATAGTTGCATGACATCCATGCTTTGATGTCATGCAGGCAGTTGATGAGAGACTGAGGGGGGAGCTGGGAGGATGGAGTGGTGCTGAGATACAGTTGGGTATCATCAGCATAACAGTGGAAATTGAGTCCATGATGTCGGATGATCTGGCCGAGGGGGAGCATGTAAATGGTGAACAGGAGGGGGCCAAGCACAGAGCCCTGGGGTACACCATGGTGGACTGGGGCCGGGGGTGAATTAGAGCCATTGATGGAGACAAACTGTTTCCTGTTATGGAGATAGGATGTGAACCAAGACAGCGCTGTGCCAGTGATACCTAGGAGGTCTGAGAGGCGGGTGAGGAGGATGTTGTGAGAGATAGTGTCAAACGCTGCAGAGAGGTCCAGGAGGATAAGGATGCTGAGGCGGCCAGAGTCAGCAGCAATGAGGAGATCGTTGGTGATCTTGATGAGGGCGGTCTCAGTGCTGTGTTGCTGTCTGAAGCCAGATTGGAAGGGCTCATAGAGCTCATGGTTGGACATGTATAGATGGAGTTGGCCGGCGACCACTCAGCATGTGTGTGTGAAGAAGCAATGGAGAACACACTCCTGATAGGACGTGAAAGGATGTAATTGTAGCCAGATTAGATTGTATGTAAAGCTCTCTCTCCTTCCAGAGCCCAGCTGTGCCTGTGCTGGTTGATCCAGGAGAGGCAGCGGCGGTGGAGGTGAGCACCGGGAGTGAAGAGAATGATGAAGAGGAGGAAACTCTCTACCTCAAACCTCAGAACGGCAAACACAGACATGTTCAACAAGACTTGGCACCGCTGAGGAATCAGTGAGTGGAAAGTGTTTTCAGTTGTTCACTTGTCACGTGTCTTTATTGTGGAAGGATTTAAACAATAGTCTTAATCTAAATGTTCTTACATTTTTCCTCTCTCTGTCTAGCTTCCAAAGCTTAGGGGAGCTCTCCAGACATATAGACCACAGCCAGAGGGAAGGAGCTCCCCTTTCTGCTGCCTTAAGGAGAGACGTGCAGCCTGGGAGAGAGGAGGAGGAGGAGGAGAGACAGTGTCAAGAAAACCTGGAAACATCAGCAGCACAGTAATACTTGCTTACTTTCCTGTCTAAATGTTATTATTTTTATCTCGGAATAGTACAATTATACTGAAGAAATTCTAAATATGTATTAAGAAGATTAATAAATATGGTATGGTAAGAGGCTTGCTCCACTAGCTCCCCTGGACTCAATCTCTCTCTGTTGACAGGAAATCGGACCATCAGGACTCTCCTCCTGTCTACACTAAGGAAGCTCAGAGCAGCAGGTCCAGCCCTCCTCCCCGCAGCGCCTCCATCACCACACCCCCCGCTCATCGTCCCCGCAGCGCCTCCATCACCACACCCCCCGCTCATCGTCCCCGCAGCCCCTCCATCACCACACCCCCAGCTCATCGTCCCCGCAGCCCCTCCATCACCACACCCCCCGCTCATCGTCCCCGCAGCGCCTCCATCACCACACCCCCCGCTCATCCTCCCCGCAGCCCCTCCATCACCACACCCCCCGCTCATCGTCCCAGCAGCCCCTCCATCACCACACCCCCCGCTCATCCTCCCCGCAGCGCCTCCATCACCACACCCCCCGCTCATCGTCCCAGCAGCCCCTCCATCACCACCACCCCCCGCTCATCCTCCCCGCAGCGCCTCCATCACCACACCCCCCGCTCATCGTCCCCGCAGCAGGAGAACGCTAGAGGTGGGAGAGTCCCCCAGCAGCAGTCTGAGCAGTCTGAGCAGTCTGAACTCCAAACTCCTGAGTGGGATCAGAAGAGTTCTTTCTCAGGTCAGTTCCTTCTGAAATCTGACAGGGTGAAATAACATGTTCTTACATCCATGGCATGGTTAGAGGAGGCATACATTAATGTCAAGGTAGGTGGCGAGCAGGCAGACATTCTGATATTGATTTACAGTGCTCTCCTGTTCACATGTAAATCAGGTAAAAATAAAGATCATACACTAAAAATATTAAATCCACTAACATTTCTTTACAAGATCATTTACATCACTAAATGTCTGTCTAGAAGGTAAGTATCACTACTGTAGACTGCATACAAAACGAAAGAAACATTACTTCAGCAAAACTCAAATCCATCCATCCATTTTCCACCGCTTATCAGACGGCCCCCAAACGTCCCTTTCCCTGGCCACAACAACCAGTTTCCAATCCCCACCTTCCACAAGGAAAATGTGTTGATTAAGACAAACAATATTACATCTACATCTAAAATGTGTATCGTCAAATGATGCATAACATTCTGTGTTGTGTTGCTCAGGATGGGATTATCTCCCCGGAGACGGACAGTGGGTTTGTGTGTTCAGAGAGCAGCCGTCTGACTCCTGCTGCAGCGGCCAGTCCTGTCCACCAGAGGGCCTCCGAGAGGTGAGGGCGTCCGGTACATTCTGTGCCTCCACACACTTTAACTGCACCATAAATCACACCTCATGTGCCATCCCCCACTCCCACCCCGTTACACACAGCATACTGATGCCCGACCCTACAACTCTAACGGCCCTTATTCTCACTGCTTATTATGAATGTATTTATATGATACAGTCTATTGCTAATGAAGCATTTTGTGTTTTCTGTCTTGAATATTCCTCTAGTGTGTCAGTGCCTCAGGAGAGGATTCCTCAGATGGTCCTGGTATCAGCACCATCTCCGGTTCCCCCACTGTTGCTAAATCAACCGGCGATGGAGCCCAACAGGACCAGGTCGAGCAGAAGCAGAACGGAGCAGAGGAGACGCATCCTCTCCTGCTCCCCACAGCGCTGCGTCCCTCTGACGGGACAAACCAAAGCCGACAGTGGGACCAGTGAGTTTGGACCGGAGAGTGACAGCTGTGAGTCTCTAAGTTTCGCCCACTGTCTGAGATTTTTGCTAATGACCTTTTTATTCTATGGTTTAACTGTTGTCTTTTCTTCATTGTCTGTGTATCTAACCTGCAGTCCTCCTCTGTCCCTGCAGCTCTCACTGTGTCTGAGCACAGATTCACACAATCCATAAACTCTAGCCCGAGCTTCTCCCTCGCTAGTGCACTGGGTCACCATGACGATCCTCTCAGTGCACTGAGCTCCAGTCAGGCTGCGAATCGCAAGTGAGTGTGTGTGTAGCAGCAGCTGCCATGGCGATAGCTGTGCTGCGTAAACACGGCCAGGTTTATGTCTCCCTGCAGACAAATTATTTGACGAATAAGAAGAATAAAATGTTCAGATATTTTTCTGAAATGTATAAGTTCACTCCTGTTAGATTTACCCAGCATCCTTAATGTCTCTGTCATCACATTATTGTATGTTTCATTACAGAACATGCTGCCATTGAATGTGGTTGCATATTAGGAGGTACTCTGTTGTGTCCTGCATGGTGTGTTCCTGCATGGTCATTTTCAAACAGCGTGTGTGTGTTTGGACTGACAGCTACACAGATACTGACTAGCACTCTGTAAACTGGAATAGTTTTACAGTGCAGCACTTACTGTTTGGCCTTGGATACGTGTGGTGGTGAAAATTACATAAACTACACATAGATTATTTAATGTGATTTTTAAAAGTATTTGCTTGTGTGTGTGTTTTAGTGATGCAATCCAGACGCTGCAGGTGGAGGTGCGCCGAATGAGGGAGAGCCTAGATAGCTGTCTGAGGAATAAGAATCCTGTGAGAGCGGCTCCTTCTGCTCACCACAACACCTCTACTCCAATCAGGTTGGTTTCTATTTCCCTGTTGTGACTGCGAAGGGACTTCACTGCTTACGCTCAAAACAAGGCGCGCTGACGCTTTGACCTATGGGTTTGCTTGGATGTCATCTTGTTCTAAATGTGGTCTTCTCCCATTGCTTAGGCCAGGGGAGCGACGGGGTGATGTCAGGGAGAGAATAAACACACGGCCTGTAGATGAGGACGAGGAGTTCACACTGCGGAGAACAACCAAGAAGAGAACACCTTCTTCGAACAGACCAAAAACTAACATCTGTAAGGCTTGATTATATACATACATAAGCAAGCACATCCATCTAAGAACAAAGAGCAGATTGGGATGTAATGCATGTCATGTTGTTGTTTCCAGCCACAGGTTCAGAGCCCGCCTCACCTCAGCCTCTGGTGTCCAGGTGTACTCAAACATCCACTGCAGCTCCAGACAGCCACCGCTCACACACGCATACTGTCGGCAGCAGAACACAGCCCAGTGAGAACCATCTATCTACAGATGCAATTTCCATAGATACATACATAGAAAGAGGACTAGTTGTAAATTCATAGCTGTTCTGTTCAAGTCAATACAGACATTTAGTAAAAAACAAGTGGCACTTGTGTATTTTAGAAGCAAATCTGCCAGATTAGACTGTGCCTGGTGAGAGTGTGTGTGTGTGTTGCAGGGCAGCAGCCTGGTGTGTCTGCACAAGTGTGTGAAGCAGCAGACGTTCTTGACAGCAGAGGGCGGGCTCCTCTTTGTCCTCAGTGTCTGTCACATGGTCCCCGAGGGCGATCTGAAGGTAAGGAGGCTCCTTTCATCCTTTTTGTTTTCTTTCCTTCTACGCGTTTCTTCTTACTAGATTTTCTTTGTATTCAGACAAAGTTGATTTCTTAACAATACTGCAGTTGTCTTCACTAATGCTTGCTTGTTGTATTCCTCAGTGCCAGTTGGGGGTGACAGAGAGCAGCCTCACTCCTCTGGCTGTCGTCTCTGTCCTCTCTGTGGACGCCATGCACCCTACAGCAGCACGGAGCCAGGTGAGAGGATGTGAACAGAGCTGTACATACCCACCATTACCGGTGTTAACAGTCATCTCGTAATCCCCCTCATGTGTGGCTGAACACGTAATCCATTACTTGTCAATTCTAACTTTATTTACTATCAGCAGTGTTGGGACTAACGCGTTCCAAAGTAACGCGTTACTGTAACGCCGTTACCGTTGGCAGTAACTAGTACTCTAACGCATTACTTTTTGAATTCAGTAACTCAGTTACCGTTACTACATGGTGCGTTACTCCGTTACTGCGTTAGTTTTTTTTATATAGTCAACAGCCAGGCGAACAGAGATGAGAACTGTACTTAAGTACAGTACTTGAGTAAATGTACTTAGATACTTCCTGTGTCACATGCGGAGACGGGCTGTGGGCGTGTTTGTGTTGTTTACTAACAAGACTATCATGGCGGCGGCGGAGCTCAAGTCTAGTTTCTCCACCTGGAGATATTCTCACTATTTCACTTTTGTCGAGCACAAAGAAAAGAACGTTTTAGTTAAATGTAAGTTGTGTCTTGGCGGGTCAAAGATCCTATCTACTGCCCAAACCAGTAATTCAAATATCTTAAAACATCTGCAAAAACAACATGCTGGGACGAAGCTAGTAGCTAAGACCACAGAGACTCAGCCGACGCCACTCCACCTCCACCTAAGCAACAGCGGCTGGATTTTAACCAAGGGACTGCTGGCCAGGGAAAAGTCGATAAAGTCATTGCACGGTATGTTGTAGAACACATGCAGGCTATTGCTACAGTGGAGTCACCCGCTTTCAGGGAGCTAGTTAGCATGATAGCATGTCCGGGCGGCACACGGTATATGGGACGGAAAACTTTTTCCAACTACCTGGAGAAAGAATATACAAAAATGGAAAGCCAGCTAATATCGATGCAATCCAGATTGCATATAATGCATGTCAAGTTGATCAACAGATTGAATTATTCTCCAATGCAATAACAGTACTGAAAGGAAGGCTATAAGGGCATTAATGGGAGCCCTTTTATAAAGTAACTAAAACGTTACTTTTCACAGTAACGCATTACTTTTGGAATGAAGTAACTAGTAATGGAACTAGTTACTGGTTTTCAGTAACTAGCACAACACTGACTATCAGCAGCATTTGTTCTGCTTGGTCACAGTTCTGTTTGCAGTAAATGAAATGAGTTTAATAATATGAAGTGTTGCCCTGCCCTGTTGTTCACAGCCCCCCCCACACACACAACCTGCCAACCAGCCGAGTCCCCCCACAGAGTGCAGAGGAGCGGATACTTTGCAGCTGCAGCTCCTCCTGCTCTGCTGCAGTGCCTGCCAGTGTGCCCACCCCCCCTCCTGTAGGTGACCTGCCCTCTCAACATACACACAAAGCTTTTAGCAAAAACTCACCTGCAGTTGACAAACTAAAAGAGATAGTGTGAAGTGAAATGGACGTCCCTCATACAAACACTCACCATCACATCAGTTGTACGGTAGCAGGGAAAATGCCCAAATGAAGTATAATGTTCAAAGCGCAGACAAATCCAAGAGCTCCTCTCAGCTGCAAATCATAAAGCAAACTATGGTTGGTTAAACTGCTTGAGAAGGCTCTTAGATAACAAATCTAATAACAAAAATAGTAGCTAAATCATTTATTTGTGTGACGTTAAGATAACAAGTCTTCATCATTCTTTCAGCGCATAATGCTGTAATGTCCTGCTAGTACAGTAATGTGTTGTATTTGTACACAAACTACTATAAAATGTAATATTTAATACATTCTGGCACTTTTCATTATCACCCTGTCTTTAGGTTGTACTCGTCATCGCCCCTCTACGTGTCTCCTAGCAACAGCCAAGGCAGGTCCTCAGGGGTCAGGCGTCGCAGGGAGGTGATGAGGAGGAGGCGCTCCCTGTCGGTGGACAAGCAGCGCTGCGTGGACAGCTCTCTGGAGAGGGCCATCAGAGCAGCGCGGAGCATGAGACACACCTCTGGACACATGGCTCGCTCTCTGAAGTCCGGCCTGCACTACCAGAGGCTCCTCGCCCAGGCCTGCAGCCTCTAGTCTGAACTCAGAACATCACCGTGTGCAGGACCAGCTGAATTAAACACCTCATTCCCTTCTTTGTAACTTGTCTTTGGAGAAAAAACTGTTACTGTAGCTTTGTTTGCGGCACTGTTAAAAAGGGTAAGTCATGGCAACATTTGATTATTTTCAAATGGGCTACTATGAGGTACTTGTCATTGTTATCAGTGGATGAATTGGGAGGCTGTGGCTCAGTGGATAGTGTGGTGGACTTCAAATCAGGAGATAGCAAGTTCGAGTCCCACTGGGCAAGACACTTCACCCCAAATTGCTCCTGTGGGGATTGTCCACAGTACTGAAGTCGCTTTGGATAAAAGCGTCTAACAAATGACATGTAATTGCACACCTCCAGTTTTGAGAATAATTGGAGTGCGAGCACAGAAGCTAAGTCATATTGTGCTGTGGATCGGGGCAGCTGCGAAACTTATTTGACCTAAAAATAAAGAAATATCAGTTAAAGTGTACCTTGCACTCAAAGGCTTTCCAATGGGGAACTAAAGCCATTACCATGCAGTGATTTCCCCTCACAGAACACAAGGGGTCCTGGTCTACTGCTGCCTTCAATGGTTAGTTTGTGTGTGTGACTTTGGTGAAACCGAAAAAACTATTTATTACATGATTTAATACACACATAACGAACTGATCTACGGAAAGTACCCCATACAACCCCCCATTTAAAAATATCCAAACTATCCCTCTGAATCTCAGGTGGCCAAACGTACATTTCCTTTCCTTCAGCAATCGTCATAATCCTTTTCAAATATGTCGTGGCATACAGTTCATAGAAATGACATACTTGGCTGTCCTGGAGCAGTTGTTACTTTGAGCTATTTATTAATAATGTGAATCTAGTTTTTGTAATTCTAAAAATAAGTGTTATTTTGAGTTTATGTATGAGCTTTGTTTTCCCTTTTTAATACTGTAGCATGCTGCGCTGTACATGAAATGCACTCCTAATGCAACTGTTGTTGACGGCTAACAAGAGACCTGGACCAAGTGGTCGACAGCCCTGTAACACTGTAATGCTGGATCCCCCCTCATTTGTCCACTTTTATGTTGTCTGTATAGAATACACATTTTGAACTGTGTGAATTCATTTTGTACAATAGTTTCTAAGAAGCTTTATGAGCCAGAGAAGCAGGTATGTTTTTATACAAAAGAGAATATATAAACTATTTTCATGGATTGTATTTACTGTATTTGGTTGAAATATACCATAGAACTGTGATTGTGAATTTAAATCAGATTTTTACTCATTTCTAATCCTTTTTTTATATTTTCAGTAAACTCTTTGCAGCTATCCCTAAGGAGCCAAATTAAAGTTTAAATGTAACGTTCGGTTTTACTGTTTTGCCTTTTCAAGAATAAAAACTAGAGTCTTCAATGTAATGGAAGCCAATTTATTAGACAGCCTTAGTACATATTAGGTACACATGGAAGTATTGTTTGTGCTTCAACACTCGCAAACATACAATCCCAATAAGTTAAACAGTTTTAGAACAGACTAATGCATCACTATTATTTTTTCTCTGATAAATAATTTGATATAAACCAATTGATTTGACAGAGTAAATCCTATACAACAGAAAATAATAGAAAATAAATGAACACAAAGTCAAGCGTTTGCATCACAGAAAACGCATAATAGTGCAATATACAACTTGTTTGGCCAGGAAAGAGGGGAGGGAGGGAAGAAAAGTGAAAAGAGTGGATTTAAGGGATTTATTTTGCAAAGCCATTCACCATTGGAGGGTTTTACATTGCACCGGAGGAAAAAATAGCTTCTTTTTGAACCACTAACAGCTACAGCTAAAACATCACAAACACGGCGGCTTCACATCGACGTTTTTTTAAAGGAAAAGGTATCACTACTTCACAGTTAGGAATATCACCAGTCAACAGTGAGACGCTAAAACAGCAACGGATGGCACGTGCACAACACTACTCAGTGCACGGCCCAATGAAACATCACTAACCAATGAAAAGACTTAATCTGACAGGATACAATACTGAAATACAACTGGCCCTTTTTAAGATTATTCTTTAAATATCTGCAAGCATCGGCCTTTGACATTAAAACGTGAATTTTTCGGAGAAAGGAAAAAGGTTGTGGCAAGTAAATACTTTACAGTCTCGGCAGCCGGAGGAGGGGGGGTTCGGGCTTTTTACAGAGCTCTCTCTATCCGACGTCTTCTAAACCAAACGCTTTAAAAGGAATACTTTAAAGAAAGTCTATGTTTTGAGTATCGCACCTCTTCCTTATGTACAGCGTTAAAATGTGTCCAGATATATATTACAAGCTATGTGGCAGCGCCAGGAGGGGTTAGATTGTGATTTCCTTGGCTAGAATGAATATATTCAGTGATTTGTGCACTTATTTCTATATTAATCTACAATGGCGACTGCTGATTGCAGGGAAAACGTCAAGGACATTGACGTTGATTTGGAACAATAAGTGAAAATAGCATGAAAAACAAACTGCGGTTACTGTGCTTGCTAGTGCTAATTGCATAAACTTCAGCTAAGATATAATATATTTAAATCCCACATAAATAAATATATATATATATACATATATTAGAGCAGTAACGGCTTAAAGGTCATTTTGTGGGCTGCAGCTTGTGGTGCTGTTGCATACTGACCCTTACTGACACATCTGGATATATTGCAATACATTTACATTGCTATAGTTTAACCTTATAAACTGCCAGCTGAGTTTACGGATGGAACGCCAAGTACTGGATACCCATACATTTCGAAGTGTGTATTTTTAGATACTCAAAACACATGTTTTCAGTGAAGTATTCAAGCTCAACATCTTAGGAAAAAGCTAAGTGCTAACTCTGCGGCTCCCAGAACATCCACATTGGATACAAACACATAACAGTCCACACAAGTCCAAGCATGCTACTGAATACGAACATCTCAAATGGGCGGGGGTGGGGGGGGGGATTCCTCTCTGACGAATATATTTATATTGCATGTTGACTGATATGATATATTTTACAACAACGACCTCTCAAACTGCTCATCCCTCCTCAACAAGCTTCCGATAAAACTCACAGGGGAGGAAACCCAAAGCAAAGAGAAAATGTCGACCTTTTGCACACAATATTACATTTGGGTACTTTCAGTTTTAAATGGCCTTCTGTTCTGATATGTAAACCTTTTTTTAAATAAGTTCATTTAGTTGCATCCATTGTAAAACTTTGATTACTTGCAACTATTTTATTCTTTGATACAACATATATTTTTTTATCATCTCAGATGTTTTTTTATTCTTCTCAAGCAGGATGCATACACAGTTAATGTAGTTTTCAGGGAAAGGGTACAGAGGTAAGAAGGGGGCGGGGTTAAGAGAAATAGGAGAGAGGTGTGATTGGAGGATCTTAGCTTGCAACTTCCTCGTCTGGTTTGTTCATGGCCTTGAGCTGCTCCAGCAGGCTGGTGGGGGTGAAGATGTTGGTCGATCCTGGAGACACACACACAAACACACACACACACACAAACAGAGAGTTAGATCTGCACGTGTTGGAAGAAACAGAAACAAAATGTGTTTTCAGCTCTTGCTATGAATGCTTACTGGTAATGAAAGCACACAATGTTCAAACTAAAAACAGAAGCGCTGTTCAAATGGATTAAAGAGGTTAGAGACTTATTCTCAAAGGTAGGAGATAACTGAGTACTTTCACAAGATACTTTGAGTATTTCTAAATGGATTGTATTTTTTTCCCGCACTTCGTTTGAGAGGAATATTTTGTAATCTTTATTCCACTACATGTACCTTACAGCTCAGTTTTTTACTCTTTCAATTGTTTTTTAGACTTTTTGTTTTAAAGACTAAAAACTTGTGTCAGTATTTTCTGAAAGTGAGAAAACCCCAAAACAAGAGGCATGATATGCTACTTTCTGTGAGCAGACTGAAATTATATTGTATCTCTAATCATCTTTGTATCCTTACATCCTGTTACATTTAAAACGTTTTAATATAAATTAGTATTGGTAAACATCTCTGTCTATTATGGTTGATAGATGTCATGCAGCTGAAGGAGATGGAAGCACACAGATCAGTGACGGCACCACACCACTGTCATGAAGCTGAACTAAAACTGGCAGGTGGGTTTGTAGCATCCTGCCACAGCAGACCTGTGTCTACACACAGCCAATCAGGTGCAGATGACTTCATTGAAGTGCATGCAGACAGCTGAACAATTATTCTACCAAAAGCAAAGAAAATGTATCGAGAAAGACGAAAGCAGATCTCCTCTACATGTCATGAAATCCCAAACCAGAGGTCTATGGTCTCCATATTTATGAATGAAACTCAGTAACCCTAGCAACACATAGATGACCTGCTGTGACAGCTGAAGACACATTTCAGACATTGTGACACTTGAAAGGTGCTGAACTGGAGTAAAGCAAACGTTTTGTCCAATGTGTCGAATCATTGACAGATTTACCAATTCCTTTGATAACTGTCATCTGTATTCCTTGTAAAAAAAAAAGACAAACAAAGCATTTGATTTACTCCTCACACCTGTCCAACATTGTAACAGTACATTGGCCTACATTGGTTTGTTTCTGTTGCAAAGCTGCGTGTTTCCTCCAGTTTGGTTTGATTTACCTGAAACACAGGCAAACTAGGCCGGACCCTGTGAGGGGTCAGAACAGGAAGTGGAGGTAGTCAACGGGAAAACAGAAGAGAAAGAGGCAAGCCCATCTCGAGTTGGGTCGTTATGGTGATGCGGGGTCGTGGGGGGGGTTTAGTGCGGGCCATAGAGGTTACTGTCAGACGGGCCTCGTCTGCTTCTCTGCTGTTCCCCAAACACACAGCTTCGTGGGCCAGAAACACAACACCTCCTACGCCACTACATTACATTATTGTACCAAAATAGCATATCAAAAACAAGGAGTTGTTTTAGTAGGTGATGGCCATTTTGCTCAGGAAGTGTTGAATGCAGCAGTATGGGGGGGGGGGGGGGGGGGCAGCCATACTGCTGATGGTGAGAGCTGCTTACTGAGAAAACCAAACGTGGGTTTGTTACGATATCGCTTTAGCAGATTAGTCAGGAATGAGATGGATGCCCAGGTACTACAGTCTTTAGGGTGAATGTGTGTTTAGAGGTAGCCTTGCTAATAATCTACAAAAACAGGCAATGGGGGGGGGTCATGGACACAAGTATAATCTGTTACCTGAGCCAAGGAGGTTATGTTTTGAGTGTCCCCATGTGTTTGTTTGTCAGAAGGATTTCTCAAAAATGATGATTAAATGTAGCTGGAAACTTGTAGAGTAAAGTCTGTTAGCAGGTGATGCAATTTAGTTTCCTACATTAAGGGGGGGGGGGGGGGGGGGGGGGGATTAGTTGCAGCTGTTGGACATTTGCGGCATCTTTTCTTTTGAATTGGTTGCTAAAGCATATCAGGTGGAACATTGCTACATCCTCAGACTCTGTCAGCAGAGAGGCATATGAGAGGCGCTGACACAAAGGGACAACTTTTGGGCAACTGCACTGAACACTTCTGAAATGATTGTTCCCCGACAGCTTCCTTTCTGCCCCCAAAATGTGCCCTGAGTGTCAGCGCCCTGAAAGTATAACCATGATAAAGGAGATATTTTGCTAATATTTAGTGTCCCTCTGCAGAGGAGCCTTGAGTCATGTGAGCATGTGATGGGGACTGAGAGAGAGTGACGTAGACGGAGTCAGACGACTGTGAGTCAAAGGAAATCAAATACACAAGGGATAAAGGAGAGGATCCTTCTTTGAAATCCTACATTAAGTCAAAGAGCTGTCTGGATGTGGAAAAACCAGGAACAAAACAAAGTGATTGACTTTGCGAAGGGATATTTCGAAAAATAATCAGACAGTAAAAACGGATAAAGATGGATCTCGGGGGTAGATTAAATCTGGGGTGAGTGTTCCTCAGGCTCAAAGGGCCTTTGGGTGGTGGTCGAAGGGCGATTTAATCCACCCAGCTGAGATGATGGGAGGAGGCAGCAGGGATGGGGTCACGACGCCCTCAGACATGGCCGCTCTACACCACAGACTTTGATTGGGCTGAATCCAAATGTGGGCTTGAGGGCCTGCAAGGTCCTCCGTCACACGTACTGTGACGTGATCACCCTCTTCATGTCAAGTCTGTCAGAACACATGCCCCTGAAAACAAGGGCCCTGCAGGCATTTGTTGCATCTCTGTATCAGTGTGTGTGCTGTACTGTAGAAGGTGATGTCAAAACAGTTGTAGAATCGTGCCTACAATAAAGGAATGCTTTCTGCAGAGGAAAACATATAAAAGAAAATACCTGGTGCCAAGAGTTGAGTTGAGTCAAGCTAAAAATGCAGTGGAAATTAGACTTTTGTGCTAATAAAAAATATATAACGTCACATTCCAGACTCGCCCTCTTGCTAACTTTTAGATTTGGAGTGGTTGACGATTTGGATTCAGCCTTCCTGACAACAGACAGGTTACACCTGATTGAAGAGATGGACTCTCACTGTGATTGGCTAACTCTCAGTATAAAGGGACTAAACTATGATGGAGCGGCCCATGTAGTGGGGAAAGGTCGGTGGGTGCCCATCCCTGAGGGACAGGGGGGAGGAGGGTGGAGTTACATAGAACAGTACTGAGTGTTCAAAGAAGAAGAACAGGGAGGAAGCCCTTGTGCTGCGAAGGTTCAGAAAGGGCTTCTTTGTGCGGCTGCCTTTACTTTTTTCAGTGTGATTTCTCTCTCCCTCCCTCCCAATCTGTCTCTGCCTCACTCGGCTGGTGTTTCTGCTTCCTCAAAGGACACCCTAGTGGACTCTCGGAAGTCGGGGTGCTGGAGGTCCTTTAAGAATTTGGTGGGGGTGAGCATGTGGGTGGAACCTGTGGAGGAACAGAGGCGGCTTCACCACTCGTCTCTCAGCACATGCCACGCCCCCTCCCCCACTCGCTCCGAAAACAAAAAAGGGTTACAAAAAACTGTCGTACATACACACATATACACACAACACACACACACACACACACACACACACACACACAGAGACACACTCGTCCACCGACAGTTCACACAAATACATACAATCGCCATGTTGCACAGTAAAGAAAACAACAGACACAGAAAAAGACATGGGGGCGCTGCAATTTAAAGACAACAGTTGTTTTTAAAGACAACAGCTGAAGCAGAGCACAACAGAAACTAACAAGACATTTCCCATTTATCACACAGACTACATAAAGGGCTTTTTAACATCACAGACTGCACACAATAGGTGGGTTGTAACGGCTAGACCTTCCATGAACTTCACCTAAACTGCTTGACTGTCATGAGTCATGATCTGGATTTTCCTTTCTCCTGATCTGTGTTGTGGGCACAATGACTGATTTGTCATTGTGGGTTAAAAAAATAGTTTCTTGAGACTCCTTTTGGACGAAAGGATTTATTTACGCAGGTTTGTATATAACTCACTTAGCAAGTAAGATTTTGAACACAGACAAAATATTCTTTTTTTTACAGAAATTAAAAATGTACTATATATTATATAAAAATCAGTTTGCAAACATAATAAATGATTGAATTACATGGGTTGTATTGTTTTATGTTAGCTTTTCCTGGTATTAGTATCAACAACCACATTTCTAGTATTGTGACATCCCTGGTAGTAAAGCTTTATCTTTCTCTCAATGCACTGGACTTACACTTCCCCATCAGGGTTTGAATGTCTGTTCACCTCACTTCCTGTGGTCTCCTACACATTTCTCTTCCCCTCCATCCTTATATTTTTAGCTGTCTCCACGTTGAGAAGCTTTGACCTTCTGTGTCCCTTGTAAGACCTGATTGCTAGGATGCAGCTTATCAGCTTCCACACTTTCTATACAACATTTTGAACTTAGATACACATCCACTATGTACTACATAACACCAAGCTGAAAAGCAACTGCTTTTCTGGTTGAAGGTTTTAATGATAAACACCACATCAAGCTACAAAGTTAAACCACTAGAGGTCAGCAAAACTAGATTTTCAGGGTGTGTCAAGTTACTCTTTAAGCTTGTCATAGATGTATCTCTGAAAAATCTCTGCACCTAGTAGCGCCTACTGCTGCTCCACTCACCAATGACGGCCTCCCACTTCCCATTGGCCTGTGTGACCTCATAGGCACAGCGCATCTCGCTGAAGGAGGCGCCCCCGATGATGAAGACCATGACACGCGGCCCGGTGCGGTACTCTCCAGGAGTCTTGTTCTTATGCCAGTGTCCGTACCGAGCACTGCCAGAGCAGAGAGAAAAACAGGGAGCTGTTATTCAAGTTGTAAAGCTCGTCTCATCTATGTACATAACATCATTATGGTATTAAGTACAATACAGCTGTTAAGGCATTCAATGTTATGGATACATATGATCCTCATTGCTGGGTGTGTTTCCGTCTGTGGGGGAGGGACAGCTAATGTGGAGGATCGGTTTGTAACAGGAGAGGATTTGATTCACAATCAATACACACCAGCAGCTTCCACACACACTGCAGTGTAAGGATCAGCAGGGCTCATCCCTCCCCCTCATACACACACACTCTTCCATGCAACCCACAGAGGGAAGTATCGACGACTTGTACTAATGTCGGCTTGCTCACATTTTGGAGTTTGAGTTTCCTTGGGTGATATTTCTATTTCAAGAGTTTCATATTTCATTAGGGCTGTACCAAATTATTATTTTCTTTCTATTGACGTTTTCTAAATAAAGAATGTTGTCATATAAGAGTACCTTTTTTTTTTTTTTTAAATCACCCAACAAAAAAAGTTGTTGTCATGCCTTCTATCTTTGCACAGTGATCCGTATACGACTCACTACCTGAGAGTCATCAGTATCATCTCTGTTGGCCTTACTCCATTTTTTGGAGGAAAGTATTGATTCCTGAGACTCATTTCCCTTCCCAATTCACTATTGATCTATATCCATTTCTGTCTGTGTAATTGACGATGCAATGAGAAGCCACGCTGTACCTAATATGTAAATAGGCCTGCCTGTGTGTGTGTGTGTGTGTGTGTGTGTGTGTGTGTGTGTGTGTGTGTGTGTGTGTGTGTGTGTGTGTGTGTGTGTACCTGACAGCAGTGGTGCTGAAGGAGGCAGAGGAGCGGGTGGAGATGTAGGGGTAGTGCTTGGTGTCCAGCTTATCTTCAATAGCATCCTGCATGGGGATAAAAAGACAAAACAGATCTGTATCAGCAATAGTCCACCTTGAACACACACACACACACACCCAACCCACACACACACACACACACACACACACACACCACACACACACACACACACACACACACACACACACACACACACACACACACACACACACACACACAGCACACACACACACACACACACACACACACCACACACACACACACACACACACACACACACACACACACACACACACACACACACACACACACACACACACACACACACCACACACACACACACACACCACACACACACACACCACACACACACACACACACACACACACACACACACACACACACACACACACACACACACACACACACACACACACACACACACACACACACACACACACACACACACACACACACACACACACACACACACACACACACACACACACACACACACACACACACACACACACACACACACTTCAATAAGGGCTGTTACAGTTGTGCCAGGTCTCTTAGCAACCATGTTTAGCTCCATCATGGACGACCATTGGAGAATTGGCTTGGCACAAATAAGGGGCTAAATATAGTTGATAACAACCAGGCTGGGAGAACCGATGTTTGGCTAAGGTTGTTGTGGATGTATGCCTACTGTAAAACAGATCACTCTGCTCAGATTAATAGTGTGTTTTTATGCAACCCTTAATTAAGATTTGCTTGAAAAAAATACACATTGCAAATGCAAAAAAACATACAATATAGCTGCTGAAAGGGACGTTGCCTCTAAACAAATAAAACATTCAAACATTAAAATAGTGATTCTGGTCCTTGAAACAAACCTCCATGATGTCCTTGACCAGTGGGGTCCAGCGGGACAGCTGATAGGTCTGCTCGCTCACACGCTCCTTCCTGTCCAACTTCTTTCCTCGGCGGAGGGTGGACTGATGAGGGAAACAAGACAAGGATGTGAAGGACAGAATAAATACAAGTATTTCCTTAATGCAGGAAAAGTACTATTCCACACGTAACCCTACAAGTAAAAGTCCTGCATATAAAACCTTTTTTGAGTAAAACAATAGAGTTATATCAGCAAAATGAATTAATAGTAATAAAGTAATAGTATTAATGGTGTAGTAAAATACTTCCTGTAAGTGTTTTACTATTATATACAAGGTGTTTCAGAACAGTTATGACAGTTGTAATCCTTAAAAAAAACATAATCCTTCAGTTTATAAGAAACATCTTAATTCTGATTCAACAGACATTGTTTTGAGCTGAAAAAACAAATATAATCTGAAAAGTCACTTGTAACAAAAGCTGTCAGACAGAGTATAGATGGCCAGGGAGGGTCTTACATCTGTGACGATGGGGACGCCCAGGTGAGCCATGTTGGTGATGATCTCGCTGTCCTCAGGGGGGATCTGAGCGTGCTGGATCAGCTTGTTCAGGTTCTCCTCCGTGATGCCTGAACGAACACACACAGACACACACACACACAGACACACACACAAACACACACACACACACACACACACACACCTTATAACTGAGAAGACTGTATGCTTACATTTAATATGCTCAGCTCGATGAAAGGGAAGTCATGTTTTGTAACTCGAGTGCAAAAATAACAATTTCATTGAAACTTAAAATGTACACTATACTTTTTGTGACCTGTATACCTATTATATATATAATAAATATAGAAAGGAGAAGTTTAAATGAGAAGTCTGATCTTGGTGAATAACCAGGTTAATATTCCTGTAGTCTGAGCATTTCATCATGTCTATGTCAATGCACAGTAAGTAATGGCTTTTACTTGGACAGATAGCAGAGCAGAGTTTTATAAACTTAAGAATTGATTCATAATGGCGCCTGTAGCCACTTCTTACCATTTTTGAGGAAAATGTAGAGCAGGATGATGCGGATCTTGTCGTACGTGGTGACGTTGGCATCGAGCAGGATGGGCACGATGGCCCTCATGGGGTCTTTGATCTTCTCTCCCTCAGCGTCTGTGCCCATAGCCAGATCCTGCAACACAGAACCCAGGTATCACATCATGTTTCTCACTTAAAACCCTCAGATACACATGTCTAGGGATTGTAAAAGCATTTTATTTTATACCAATTGGGATTACAGAAATAGTTGCATTATTTATACTTGTGCACGCCTATCACAATATTCTCCTTTAGGAATACTCTCTCCATCAAGTGTTTTCTCTTTCTGATCTCACACCTGTTCCACACGGCACAGCTTTGTCCACTGTTCCCTGGTAATGCTTCATGCAGTCCTCAGCCAGCTGCAGATGGGTGGAGTACTGAAAACATAACACACACAGGGTCAGAATCACTTTCACACACATTCTTATAAACACACAACACACACACACACACACACACCATGTATACATCACTTCAGGGGACATTACATTGACTTACATGCATTTCCTGGAGACTTATCCTAACCTTAACCATCACATACCGAACCCTTAACCTTAACCTTACCCTAATCCTAAACCTAACCGAGTCTTCACCCTAAAATTAATGATTCCCCGCATGGGGACCTCCAATTTGTCCCCATAAGGGAGGCGAGTCCCCACACGTGACTGTGTAAACAGATTTAGGTCCCCACAAGTATAGTAATGCTAGGCCACACACACACACACACACACACACACACACACACACACACACACACACACACACACACACACACACACACACACACACACACACACACACACACACACACACACACACACACACACACACACACACACACCTTGCTGAGCTCCTTCTGGTACTGAGGCATCTTCTTCAGCATCTGGGACAGATCCCTCATTGTGGTCTGTTGAAACAAAAGAAAAATATTGAGAATTCAGCACAAAATATTGTTAAATAGACAAATAGCAGCTACCACAAACCACACAGGCCAAAAAGCATTGGCATTTAAATAAAGTTGTTCTTTATACTTAACATTTGACTGGAGATTTTGACATCTTCACTACTTTGCAAAGAGCAATCCCAGAAGTGATCAAACATGCTATTAACACTGTGCTACCAATATATTGGCTATACTGGATGTTCAGTATCAACTTTACCTTCTCCCCAGTGTTCATCCTCTTGCTGGCTGAAAAGTCCTTCAGCTGGCGAGTCACTTCCCTGATGACAATGTTAGATTGTGTAAGTGTGTATCCACAGCTTTAAAGAGTATGAGGAATATATATAATATACAGTAGGAGTAAAAGTACTTACTGGGACACCTCAGCTATGTGTTTGTGTCTCAGGCTCACCCACAGGTCATCGTCTTCATGCAGCAGAACCTCTTTCTCACGAGAGTCTCCAATGCCACTCGTCTCATATCTGAAGAGATAAAGACACTCATTTAGAATATATCATTTAAATGTGTGATTGAAGCAGATATTCATATTTGATAGATTCTGCTTACTGCAGCTTTAACCTGTACCTTAAGCATTGTCCATCCTGCTATCATGTCCTTAGAGGAAAACAATGTCCTATACATGTCATAAGATTATACTATTATTCCTAAACATAACTAATACTGTAATCCTTTTAATGTCATTAATGCCACTGCTGTTGTGGCAGTCTGTATTTTGGCTTCACAGTTTATGATAGACTTTTTAAAGAAGATGAGGTGGTGAATAGACTCAGACCCTTGCCAAAATGTATGCCATTTGCGATGTATAGTAATAGTTTCATACTTGTAGACGTCGTTCTCGATGGGCAGCAGGTCGTAGCCCATGGCCTGGAAGGTGAGCTCGTGCAGGACTGGAGAGACAGGGTCGAACGCCCGGTCCAGGATGATCAGCTGTGAGCGGGCCTTATCTGGACCCTATACAGACACAACCATACAGGGATGAAAGGAGTGATAACTGTGTGACTTCCAGGATACATATTTTTGCAAGAACAATATGATAATCATTGAGCATTGAAGTGACTGTATTTAAGTAGAACGGGGTAAAAAATGAGTTCCTCTAAGCTCACCTCTCCCATGGTGGGGTCATCAGCCTTGTAGGCGTCCAGTTTGTCCTGAACCAGCTGGGCCAGGGTGGCATTGTCCTTGTACTCTCTGACAGGAGGACACAAGATAGAGGGATGGTCAGCATTTAAGTGATAGACAGACAGGATACCCCTCTATTTCTCCAAAGGACATTGAGAAGACTAAAAAAGCTACTCCTCAAAACCAGCTTAGAAAGTCCCCTTAACTCACTTCTGTAAAGTGATAAATGGTAATAATTCCTTACTTTTGAGTGAGGTTTTAAAATGTGGTCTCAGTTTAAAAAAAAATCACTGATCGCAACTTTTTAAATACAGGCTGATATCCTCACTGTCATGTAAACGTTATGTTTTCTGTCAAAATGAGCTATCTTTCCAACCACTAAAAGGAACGTCTTTAGTTTGTGAGCGCTTCCTGTACCCACAGCTGCCTCTACACAGCGCCCCCTGCTGCTCACCCTCGGTATCTGACGGCAGGGTACTCCTTCAGGGTGGCGCAGAGCGTGGCTAGCTGCTCCGCCAGCCTCTCCATCACCGGGTTCTTCAGCTGGGTCTTATGGGGGCTGTAGAAACTGTGGAAGGCGTCTGCATTGTCCAGAGAGTACACCTGCACACACAAACATGGACGCAAGTTAGACTACTGCTTCCCTTTTTCATTGATTTGAGATTATTTTACATGTTTCTGTTTTGGTGTTCTGTGCACCATGTTGGTCAGGAACAGATTTCAGGAAGTATTATGATGTGAAAGCGGATTTGATCATGACAAAAGACTATCATGGAGAATGGGAACTACACTCATTGTGGAAACACAGTTTTTTACATGTAACCTTGTAGACAAGCTTGAAGTGTGATAATATCAAACATGGCGGCGTTACATAAAATCTTATTTTCTGTTCTCTCTTTATGTTGTTGTTTATCCTTTTCACCTTAACCCCCGTTTCTTTCCTCTCCTATCCTGACATTTCCTCCCCTCTATTCCTTTCACCTGTAATGTCCTTGCTTTCTTCTCTGCTTTCTTATTTATCCTTCTCACTTCCCTCTTATCTAATATCCTATCTTCTCTTGTTTTCATTTCATTGTTCCTCTCGCCTCTCTTTGTCTTTCTGCGTCTTCTCATCTTCTCACCTTTTCTGCTCTCTATGTCATTTGTTCATTTCCTTTCCTCTCCTCTCCTGCATCACTCACTACCACTCCCTCCTCCCACCCCATCTGTCTTCAGTCACATGACCTCACTCCTGCAGTCTCTATGTTAGCTCAGCTCCCATTGGCTACAGCCTGCTGTGTGGATCCTTACTCATCCAATAGCGTGAGAGCATCAGTGTGTGGGCGGGGCTATGAGGCAGCATTATGCCTGGAGCAGAAAACCACTGACTCTGAATTAATGAGAGTAGACAGGAGGGAAGCAAAGCATTGTGGGCATAGCAGCATCTTCAGAGAGTGATGGGTAGATGATGGACAGGAGGAGAGAGGTGTGTAGAGGGGGGGGGACATTTAGAAAAAAGGAAGAAGGGTAATAATAAATGGAGCGCAGAGAGCATGCTACGTGCAAAGGCAAGGATGGAGGAATGGTGGTACATAAAAAAAACCGTAGGGAGGGGGAGGAGGAGAAAAATGACGAAGGCAGGAATTTGGAAATATAGCAAGGATGGAGAAGCAAGCAGAAGGAGGAGAGGCAATGTGACAAATGTGAGTCCTTCTGGAACAGTCTGGCAGTATATAGTGTGACTGCTGAGTCAGCAGCATTAAGTGACCATCTGAGTGTGTATCTGTGTTTCTATCTACTCTCTCCGTCTCTTTTCATCCATCCTCTAACAACCATTACCCTCCCTGTTACTATTCCTGGCTGTGTCCTTTCTCTATCTCTCTCCTCCCACCAATCGATCTCTCAACGCTCCAACTTGGGCTTTCTATCTCTGTATCTCTCTATCTTCACTTAATCACTAACAAAGAATTACAGAAAACCATCTTTTATTCATTCCTTGCTCAGAGGAAAAACGACTGGAGAATAATTGCAAAAAGATATAACAATCCAGGGTGCAATAAGCAATCTTTATGTAGGATTTATTAAGCAATTGGTATGCATACTTGTGTTTTCAAATATTTGTGGGATATCCTTTTGAAACTGTGTTCTCTAACAGCACTGTGAGGCACAGCTGGATATTTACCTGAGACTCGTAGGGCAAGAAGGCGATGTTGATCTCCGTCAGAGTCTTGATGGTTTTGGAAGCACGGCTCTTTGTTAGCTCATTGAAGAGAGGATCGGGGCAGGCTGGTGAGGTGGAAAATAGATGAAAACAATGAGATATAATGGCAAGCATATGTATGGATTGAGGAATTCAAATTCCTCGGTCTCAATAATATATTTAAAATAAAATTACAACATATTTCATTGACCTATGAAGTCAGTTTTGAGATGTTTACCTGCCTACCTCACCCTTTTCTGAACAGCAGACTAGATAACAATGACGTTTCTAACTCCCTACATATTTAAATAAAAAGGTAAATGTACCTTCAAAGCAGCTCCATACTTTTAATACAATTAAGCTCATCTATCATCACTGCACAGGAGCTAGAAAGTATGTTATGTTTAAATACACAAACCCTAAAACCATGTCCTGCCTGCTCAGAAGTTTTACAACTTAAACAGTGCACTACATACAGTAATGTGGATCAAGTCTTCATGTATCTACAGTACTCACAGTCAGTGAAGAAAACATGGGCTGCCTTGTATTTAGCTGAGTGAGGGTCTTTGAAGTCTGCGATGAGGGTGTGGACCGACTGAGGGGAGACAACAGAGTTCATATAAGTGTGTTGAATACACTATAGGTGCAATTCATTCGGGCTTTATTTGAATAACACTTTGAAATGATAGTGCCAAAGCCTTTACTTAAACCACTAAATGACCAAATGAAATATATACAGCTATAAATACATTTAAAAAGATTTGCTCAGCATATAATGTCAGAGCTTATTTGTCAGCACTTTGTTTAAGTTAAGTATTAGTCCTCCTATATAAAGTCAATAATTCAGTTTTTTCAGTCTTTGCATTTGAGTATTTTTCAGGGGAAATGTTATTTAATTAGGACTGTCAAGTCATGAATCACTATCTAGTTTAGCCTACATATCCCCTGGTCTACTTTTCCCAAAGCACTGTTGTCATTGTTAAGTATACATTGGATCAGTAGGTACGTAAAATCCTAAATATAAGTATGTTCTTCTATTGCCTATACATACGAATTGTTAAACTGCATCTCATATAATTATACTCGCTGTTTATCCCTTTATTTTCTAATTATAAGTTTTGAAAATGCTTAATGCTTCTTTCATTTTGGTGTAATATGTAGCAATGTGCAAACCATTTGTTATTCTGTATGTCGTTGTACGTATATTGCAGATCATATTCAAGGCACACTGTAGACCTCAAGCTGCTTTGGCAATGCTCTACTGCTCCATCATGGTATTGCCAATATAGCTGAGTAAACAGGCGAGTGTTTGGACACACGGCGGCTTCCTGCTGCCATGACACACCTCTAAATATACACTATGAACATGAGAGGAGAGAGTGTACCTTCTCTGTGGGTGTAATCAGGTAAATGGCCTCCAGGCTGGGAAGAGGCTCTCGTCTCTTCATGATGTCCTCCACAACTAGAGAAAATAAACGGTTACAGAGGAACACACAAACAACAATGTCAACCGTGCAGAGGATGTGATGGTGGTCTCTTACTGGTGATGCCCTCCGTCATGATGTCTGTCATCTTGCAGCAGGACGACAACATCCTCATGCTCAGCTGGTCCACGATCAGTGCCTGGCAACAGGAAATAAAACAGTTACTATACAAAGTGTGTGACTAAATATTGAACCACAGTTAATTACGTCACTGACAATGAAACAGTGTTATTTAAATGAAGCAATATCTGCAAACCGTGTCTTACCTTCCATTCTCCCTTCTTCTTCACCTTCTTGATGACATCATTCATAATCTCTGCAAAAGAAAAGAGACATCAGTAATGTGATCAGGGTAGAGTGATGTGATGAGCGTAGATGTTTCATTATAAACATTAGCGGGGCACACACAAACATACAGTAGCATTCAGAACAAAGGATGTGTGGGTAAAGATTACTTTTGGGAAATTCTGAATGTACTCTTCCAATATCAGAGTAGCACATGATAACAAAGGCCCGACGTAGCTGTGTACATAACCGGATGTATGATTACCTTGTCAGGACATACTGTTTTAGGCATATGATGGAGATAGACATATGACTGTCATGTTTATTGCTTACGTGGGCCTTAGCTGAGCTTAACAAAACATTGAATACTGCTTTGAACCGGTATTCCTGCATCTTGTGACTGTGATACACCCTCTCTTGTACGCATGTGAAGGACACTATTCAGGGAACTAGTTTGTCCCATGCAGCTCTGTATCTGATGACTACTTCCATTCTTGCAAGGACAATCAATACATGTATCCTGATATTGAAGATCAAGCTGGTGACAAGTGATATTTTCTTAACAATTACCTATACTGCTGTGACATTTACCAAGTGCGAATTAATGCTTTGTTTAGGTTATATTAGCTCACCTGACACCAATTCAACCCCAAGGACAAATACAAAACTACAGTGGAAACAATCAACCTTATCCTTTCCTGACCTGATTATGTACCCTTCATGATCCCATAATGCAATTCTACCCAGGAGGACAATAGCATGCGAAAGTCAAATATAGCCTCCAACAAGGTCAATGACCACAGCTCTGCAGCAGCAGCAGCAGCATAAATCATCTGGATGAAGAGTGCATATGAACGCAGAGTGTGTGCTTTGTTTCTCTGTGATCTCAAATATAATCTCATCCACTGTGAGGTCGCGGCACGATGGTCGTGTTTAAGCCACCATACCGATATTAGCCTGATCACTTTGCAAACCATCTGTCAGCCATGTTCATATAAATCCATTTACGGTGAATTACTGTTGGATTGCTGCGAATATATTAACTGCTAAGCCCTTAGGCCCCGGATCAAACCTGAGGCCACACAAATACTGATGGATTATAACAGGTTTAAGATTTAAAAGGACTCGTACAAAAAAAGATTACAGAAAATACATCAAATAAGGATCAGGGAAGCGCTGCCTCTAACAACCAATGGTCATTTATTCCAGGTTGTGAAGACACAGGCTGCTGATTGGCTCTTAACAGCAAGATGGAGGAGAGGAAAGATACAGTATGAGTGAGAAGGGGAATAACAACATTGATAGAAGAAATAAAAGATAAGGGAGGTGGAAGGGAAAGGCCGCAGCAGCGACTGAGTACATGGGCTGCCATAGTAAGCACTGAGCTATACAGCGGCACATGAAGTTATTTTTTTATACTATAACTATTGATAGGTAGTTACGCAATTTGACAAAGGCCAAGTATAGACACATTTATAATTAAAAATGTCAGTTATAGCCCCGGTGGTTGGTGGGATGTAGGATAGAGGGATAGGATTGAATTAATCCAAAAATCTTGTGCAACCTGAATTGTCTTCTGTACTGTGTTGTAAATTGAAGATGTTGCAATAAAAAATGTATGATAAAAAAAAAAAAAAAGTAAAAATGTTTTATACTAAAATTGCCCAAAACCAAGAAGTGAGATAATCACAATATCTGCCAAAAAAATAAAACAACGTTCAGTGTTTGAGTTGTCTCTATTTTGTATGAGAATAGGATGTAAAGGAAGGAAACATAGACAGACACATACCGTACAGTATATGACTTGAACCTTTCTTGTGAATATAGCTCGTATTTATGTTGTCAAAACGATTAAAATTAACCTTTAAAAACAGTATTCGCACTATAACTGACACCGACAGACACATTGGCAGGACACCAGTGAGTCAGAGGAACTTCATCTGACCTCCTGTGGGACAGAGGAACTTAGAAAGGTCTTCACACCAAACGAGAGATTCCTACACTCAGCTTCAGACTGTTACCAGCATCTTCCATTTCCTGTTCTGTAAGCTGCTGTGTCAGCAAAGCAGCAAGTCTGATTCAAACCAACGCAACATACATTAAACCACAAATCTGCGCATGTTGCCGGAATCTCTGTTACATTTTTAAAAAGTACACTTCAAAGAAAAAAAAGTGTACACTTGTTTTCGTTTATTCCTAAAATGTTGACACGTGTTTCATCCAGCAGCAGCTCCATTCTACAGGACGAGAACAGTGGGACATCCTCTACTGGGTTTCCCTTTTCCTCTGCTGCCGCTGATGTGTTTCCCTTCTGCTCTGTGCAGCAGCATTTTTCTGATAAAGCTTTTCTGATAAAAACCAGTCACTTATATTAGGTATATTAGAATAAATAGTGCTTTTTAGTGACTTTCTTTTTGTTTCAAGGTATTACACTTGTCTTTCTAAAGTCTCAAACGCACATTTATTGTGGAAATAAAACGCACACCATAAATTGTATAAAATATGTTTAAGCTGGATTAATTGTGTGTTAATCATAGAACACCCTCAGTAAACACACTGTAAAATGTTTGGCTGTAAAATGACAGTAAATTACTGGCTACTAGTTGCATGGATTTCACAGTAATTTGCTGTAAATATTTCACAGTAATTGACTGTAAATATTTCACAGTAATTGACTGTAAATATTTCACAGTAATTTACTGTAGATATTTTACAGTAAATTAGAATAAAAGTACAACTAAATACTGTGACTTTACAGTTGACATGCCCATGGAATTACTGTGATATAGCAGTACAGAGCTGTGGTATTATGGTACCTTGCTGTTCATAGATTACAGTAATTACCTGTATTTTCACACTATTACTGTAGAAGTAATGCAACACAGTAGCCAGTAATTTACTGTAAATATACAAATCTAAATAATAAGATAATATATTGTAAATCTGACTATAGTTAACTGGGATGTTACCATAACTACACAATTCAATCAGCTCAATCAACAAAGAAAAACAAAGAAAATGCCCATTTTAACTTTGTATTACTCCATTGAAGTGCAAAGTACATTTCACAGTGTCTTGGACATGTTGTTACGGCCCCAACCTCTACTCTGCGGTAGTGGCTCGTGCTGAGACCCGCAACGTGACAGAATACACGCAATAACCGGTACTTGGTAACGAGCATTTATTGATAATCAGCCGTTTGCTCACACAAGAGAAATGGGAAACAAAAAGAGGTCTGGAGGACTGGCCCAAAAGGAACAAACAGAAGGAGGGAACCCGAGCCAGCCACACCACGGACCGTAGGACCCAGAGCTTCCCCCCTAACCAGAAATCAAATATAAACCCTATGGGAAACAAAATAACACCGCGGAAACTGGACTACCAGGTCCTCCAGGCTAAACATAAACACATCTGCAAAATTATGGCCTACAGCTCAAAATGGCAAAGAGGTATTGTAAGGAGAGTGTCTCCCGGCGGTAGGATAGGCGATACATCCTTCTCATCCAGCTTCTCTTTATATATACACGGCTGAGTGGAATTTGGAACACCTGGGCAGAGGCGGAGCCAGGGGCAGACCAGGTGCAGACCAGGTGCACCTGGGCAGCAGGGAGACAGAAAATAAAACAAGGAGGGGAGCACTTGTCTACACAGACATCCACTCGAAGTCAACCATTCTTCTGAAGAATGTGCTGACATGGGGGTTTGAATTGCCATGCCTCTTTTTGACTTTCGAGCCCGTCTTGGGATTAATGCCCAGGAAGCACCTGAAAACAATAAGCCAAGACAACAATTTCAATTTGACATATGTTGCATCGTTTATTTGAAGGCACATGCAGCGGTGCCCCTTTCAATTTAAGTAAAACCTGCACCAAAAAAAGAAATTAGTATTTAAAGCCAAGCAAGAGCGATAAAAGCAAGAAAATCACTTAATTTGTTGTGTTATCACAGAGGATGGTCTGAATACAGTATTTTACTGTGAAATAATACAGTAACATGTTGTGAAATCCTGGTAATCATTGATCCTGTACATTCACAGTAATTAACTGTGCCTGTATTGATTTCACTGTGAAATTCAAAATTACAGTATTATATTGTGAACATTACAGGTAAAGACTGTAAAGTGGTAAAACAGTCATTTATTGTAAAATATTACAGCTAAATATTGTGAAATCATGGTCATATTTTACAGTGCAGTTAAGCTGGAGACACCACTAAAATGAAAATGGTGAATGGGATAAAAAAAAATATGATGACACTATATTTCCATAGCTATTCTCTCCTTTATCTCCTGTATTGACGTTCACTGAGCGTGTAAATAACAAAACTATGATCATGGAATAATGAGCAGCACTCTGATGACGGAACATGTACATCAGATCCACGTCAGGGGAAACAGCACTGTGGATGTTTCCTTTCTGACCACTGATAGAGGTACAATAACAGACAGACAGAAGGGAAGGGACCTGAGGAAACACAGAGCAACAGCTGTGTCAACTACACAGGCTGAGTGGCAAACTACACACACCAAACACACATTAACAAACACACTCAGACGCCTCATATTGTCTCACACCCAGTCTAACAGGATACTTAACATCCCACAGGAGAACAAAGGCACCGACACTACAGGCAAAAACATTATTTAGTTAAAGCACTGGTCAAATGTATCTTCTTAAAATATGGCCAAAATATATATATTTAAATGGAAAGATATCTAAAGTTCTTCCTAAAAATCTTTGAATCTTATTTGTCTACAAATTGAAATAATTTTGACCCTCAAACTTAGCACATCATTATTTAATAAGATAATGCCTCATTGCTTATTTAAACAAAGCATTTAGGCAAGGCAAGTTTATTTATATAGCACTTTTCTGTACGCGACAATTCAAAGTGCTTTACAAAACAAATTAAAATACTTTTTAGGAATACATACAGTAAAAACACATTATATATAATGGCATTTTACAACAGGCATTACAAAGCAAAGATAATAAAATAACTAAAATAAACACCACAGGTATACAATACATG